ATTTGTTTCGAAAAATTACAAATCGTCCAGTATATAGATTGGCAGCATTGAAAATTCTCCAAGTATCTACAAAATATAAAGCTTTGAGTGTCTTATCTAATAAGGCATCTGTACTTCTATATCTGTATTTCTATATTAAATTTAAAAAGTATTAATAATGAATTTCATTATTCTTTTTTATCCTTTTATTTCGTTTTTCCAAATTTTAAGATTATTTCTTATTCGGATGTCATTAATTTTTGTGTAATACGTTCGCGTTATGAATAATTTAAGGACTCCGAATACCAAGTTATAATTTTTTTTTTTTCAATTCCTTTACGATACTTTCTCTCTTTCATTTATACATGGAGTATAGAGTCGCAGTTTTGAATTAAAATACTTTATGTCTATAGGAGGTATCGTTATGTAGGTACGTATGTACTGAGTTGAAAAGAATTGTGTTTGAGCGCATTTTCAGTCTTTTTTTTTTCATTTAAAAATATTCAAAGAATTATGATTTTTCCTACTGTTTTTAAAATGAAATAAATTTTTAAATATATTTTTTTTCTTGTTTTCGGTTAGGTTTTATTATTTTTTTTATCCTTGTTACTTTCAGGACATTAAATAAAATAATAAAGAGAAAGAATAATTTTGATTTTTATGAGCGCACAAAAAAAAATTTGTGGTCGCCATTTAGGCTACCGTTTTAAATTTTCTGTTATGCTGAGGAATTTTTATACTCTTATTTTTAAGTTTTATATTTTCAGTGTGTGCGAGATATGAATATTTAAATATTGGAAATTTTTTGTTTTACTTGTTTTACTTAGGTGTTTAAATATCAGTTTTAGGTTTTTGTAATATTTTTAAGATTTTATTTTGGAATTTTTGAAAATGCCGTATAAACTTTCATTCTTACAAGGAACTTTAGCAATTATTGTTGTGCATGGATAATTAAATACTTTTAATTTTTAGTTTGAAGCAATAGAAGCATAGGTATTTATAGTATTGCTCCTTCTATGAAAACCCTGATTTGGAAATAACAATAACCAAATGACTATTTTTGAGTTAAAGGATGTTATGATTTTTACTTTTTTTGCTATTTACTTTGAAAATATTTTGTGACTAATGCAAACTTTGGTAACAAAAAACGTCTTTGGATAATTTAAAAGTAATTTCATAATCTGTATTAAATAGTGACTTATACTTAATTGATTCGTACTTTCTTGTGTCAATTGGATTAATTAAGCAAATTACTTTGGTTAACTTTGAGATAAAACATTATAAAAACTTACTATTTTCCCTTTTCAACACTTCATTAATTATTATTTGGCATCGACTCAATTCACATTTAATTATAATAATTTAAGGCTTTCACAAAAAAGCATTATGTTTTTTATACTAAATTTTTCAAAAAACACGCGGTATTCTTTAAGGTAAGAAATAGTACTTTCGTGTAGCAGTAGGGTTAATGAAGCGACGGGGGTGTAGCAATATTGTTTAAGTTAAAAAATTTGAAACTTTAATGTTATTCTAGTTCGCTATTCTAAATTGCCGGTTTGTTTTTTATAAATTCATACCTGTGACAACATTTGTTATAATGTATGTTACTATAAGAAGAGAAAAAATAAACAAAATTGAGTACAAATTTTGTAATATTTTTTTTATGGGTTTTTAAGCGTTAATATAACACGCATAAGAAAAGTAAGTATACAAAATTTATATCTTGTGTACGTGGGGGTGTGTGTACACACACATAGTGTACTTATTTATATTTTTAAATTTCCTTCTTTTTCTTTTTAAACGCTGAGCGAAAAATTGGCACGTGTGTTATTGAAATGAATGATTTATTTTTTTTAAGGAATAAAAAGAAATTGTAATATTGAATAAAGCCAAATACATTTTTTTTTGAAAAAATTACTTTTATTTGCAATAAAAACATTTTTATTATATTTAATAGCTTATGAATTGTAGAAATTTATTAGATAATTGCGTTAAAAGAGGATTTTGAAAAATATTAACTTAACTATGTTATTTATTTTATAACTTGTAATGTCATAATGCTGGTTACATATAATTATAGTATAACAAAATGCGTACGTGTTTTTAAATTTGATAACAATTTTTTTTATTTTTTGATCCTTTTAAATGGTTTCCACTTAATTTCGTTTGATTTTATATGCTTTTTAGTAATTTTCTATCATTGATAAAATTTATATTGATTTCATTGGATTCTTTCATAAAAATTTCAAAAATATTACGAGTATGTTAATAAATTTTATATAATGTTCTAATTGGAACATTATTGGTTTCTGTTATAAGGTAGTAAGTACATTGAATCGCATTGAAATTAAATTTATTAATAAATAAATTTCTACAGTATTTATGGCTGTACAAATTATTGAATTTTTATGTTTCATCAAGTAACTTTAATGCTTGGTTCATAACTTTGACAATTTGACGTTTTAATTGAATTTTTCGTTAATCGAAATGTCATTGAATGCTAATTCAAATAGTAATTAGGTCTTAAATTTGAAACGAAATTGGCTGATTATTTTTTTTTATATGCACAAAATGGTAAATTTGACCTGCTACTAGACTATAATTTTGATTAAAGTCTAGTTGCAGAAACCTGATTTTTTCCAAAAATTAGGTAGTTTCTCGTATTGTTGAACAAAAATTATGTATAAAATTTCAAGTTTAACAGTTGAATGTTTTTTAAAAATGATTTAAAACGTTACAAAATCATGTGTCATATTCATTAAAATCGGTTCAGCCGAACTTTATATATACGGCATCTTGTTACAAATAGTTAATTTGTGGGTTTCCACCGAAAGCTCGTTATGATGCCATCACATAACCTCCCTTATAATATGATATACAATCAATGGTGATTGGTGCAATAGGGCACAAAAATTTAAATGATAATTTGATCTTGTTTCACACAGTAACTAAAGTTGTGCTGCTAAATAAATGAAGTAGATGTTAAATTTTCAATTATAGGTTTCAGTAAAATGATCTCAATATTTCATATTAAAGATTGATTACAATAATTTAAGGAAAACAGGGTTAAACAGTGTATTTTAAGTATTTATTTTAACAGATATACCAAAAATAGATAATTATAAACCCAGTTAAAATTTTGCCATGTTTTTTATGATATTAAATTGTAATCTTAATGAATGCAAATATAATTATTTGGTTAATATTGATCCAGACATTCTTGATTAGAACAAAAGACATTTTGTTCTTTTAATTCTCATAATTAAGTTTTAAGAAAATTCAATTTTGTTATACAAGTTAGCCATTTTAAAAATTAAGTTTTTTTTTATTACCATATTAATAAAGACATTATATAAAAAGTAATATCGTACAAAGTCATTATATGAAACTACTAAAAGGCATTCCATTTGTTAAATTTTACGTTCTACAACCTCATTTTTATACTTTCTTTCATAATTTGTTCGTTTGGAGTTGTTCGTACATAAAGAGAAATATTTCATTACTTTAAGTGAAAACTTTTTCTATACAATATATTACTTAACCTATGTTCGATTTTTGGAATCGATAATTTGAATTAAGAATGAAAGCAAAAATTATATTTTATCCTTTTCGATTATAAATAATATTACTACAATTTTAATTCACCTTGAATTTACGTATATGAAATTTTCATTATTTTTTACTTATATCTCCGTTGGTAATCAATAATTAAATAAAGTAATTTTTTTATTGATTTCTTCAATTTTATTAGCATTTGCATTTGTATATAAATATTTTGTTACTTATATATTTTCAATAAATAATAAATATTTACTTTGTTTATTACTTTTGTACAGGTTTGAATATATTATGGTTCGTCTGATATCTTCGATTGCGTGCTGTATCAATTTAAAGCAATTTTTTTTAAATAATATCAAAAGTTAGAAAACTTGACAAATCTCAAAGTTTTGTCTCTCTATTTAACAAAATGCAAAGAGGAATATTATTGTTACAATTGAAATTATACGATAATTATCAATGTATGAAATCTTAATATTGGATCCAATTTCTACATATTCTTAAATAACTTTTAGTGTCTCCTGAATTGAGTTGTCAACTCTGCGGTATTTTAGGTATAAGAAGTAAAGTATTAAAAGCGTAAATGCATAATAAATGCGTTTCGCGATTAAAATATCGTACTGCCATTTTGACATCGCAAAACCATAAGCCGCATGGTAATATTACAGATTGACACTTTATATCAAATTGTTAATATTAAGTTTTATTCAAATTCCCATATGACCACATAATTTTGACATTTGTACTTTTTTAAATTAAGTGCGTTAAGTAAGTTTTAGAAAATTCACTTATGTGCTTTTTTATATTACAAACTTTGGCCATACAATTTAGCTAACTTTTATATTCTTTTATATAGATTTACCCTGTAATACACCAAATATTATTCATTATCGATATTGTAAATAATTTCATGAAATTAAAATTGGAAATCGTTTATTTCTTTTTAATAAATAAGAAAATTATACTGCCACAAAATATGAAAATATTTCAATTCATTGATAAGTTATTTACAGGATGTTGATTTTTAAAGATTGATAGAACTAAAATTTGTATAACACAAAAATCTAAATAACTAAAAATCAATTCTGGCCCATAGACCTCATTTTTGATAAAATAAAAACCGACAATGTCACTACCATCCTCGTCGCTAAATACAATTTCATGAGCGTAATCTCGCGCGAGACGACGAACGGTCTTCAAAGAAAACATCAAGAATTTGGTAAATTAAATAAACACAAAAAGAATACATAATACATAATATTGTGTAAGCACATTTTTTCGTATCTATTTAATATTAGCTAAAATATAAAGTACAAGTACATACGGTTATAGAATTACTATTAAAATTTACTAGAATATAGATTTGGGATTTTACATTAGTTGAATGAATAAAAATTAATTTTAAAATTATTTAATCATCAATAAATTTTTAATTTAATATTTTTTTTTTCTTATATTTACAGATTTCAATTTCATATAAAATTTGATTAAGCGAGAAAATTTAAAAATGTTATTTTGAAGTTGGCCTCCCGTGGGGCTGAAACTATCTTTCTCTAATTAATTAACGAAATTAATTTACAAAATTGAAAATCATTCAAAGAATATAAAATTCTTTGCTTTTTTTGCTTTTAAATTAAAAAAAATTAATTACAAAAAATGTTCAATTTTATAATTAAATCGAAAACTGTGTACATAAACTGTGGGACTAAAATAAAAATATTAAATATAAAAACAATAAAATAATAATTGTATAATGTGAAAAAGTGATAGAAATTTGTTTGAAAAAAATAACGTTTATTTAAAGAATAAAATTATAATTAAAATATCAAAAAAAAAAATGAAAATTAAAAATTATAAAATTATATTTATTTCATGAAATATGAATAATTCAAAGAAGAAATAATAAATCAAAAAATAGTTTAAAGGTGTCCAAATGTTAAGCCCAAAAATGCAGCGCTCCGTTCGTGTGAACGAAAGTCAGTTGTTAATGCTGTCAGATCGAGCGCAATATGATCATTCGATGGTAAGTTATTTAATTATTTTTGTTTTTAATTATTAAATTTAATTATATATATTAATTTTGTACAAACTCATATAAATATTCATAACGAAAATTGGATATTATTTTAATTGGCAAGAAACTTAGAAAAAAATAAAATTTGTTAAAATAATGAGCGATATTATTTGAGTTTGAATTTACTCAAGTTTACTATTATTGTTGAACGAAGATTTAAGAATATTTAAATTTGATTTTTGTAAAAAAAAAATATAAAAATACTTTTAAGTCGAATACCTTTATTGAAAAAAAATTTAATAATTTAAGAAGTCTTGTTAAAAAACAAAATTAATTTTATAATTAAGCACAGGATCGAGACTAATAAATTTCGGATAGGAGGGAGGGTTTTAAATATTGCGCTCAAGAGAGACTAAAAATAGGTTGTAACAAAGTCTTTAAGTATTTAACGTCATACATAAGTAATTAAACATATTTGTTTATTTTATGAAGGCAACAGATAATTTTAATTGTAATTTTAATGAACGCTAATGATTTTTTTTCTGGAATAATTAAAATTCCTTTTATGTTTTGAAATTAATTAAACCATAATTATTTGATTAATATTGATCCAGATTTTAATGATTCAAACAAAGAATAGTCATTTTTTTTTGTTCTTTAGTATAATGCTGTACCATTATGTACGCTTAGATATATAAAGAAAGTTCCACTAAATGTTCATCATTATCAAAAGATTTCTTAAGCTACAAAACATTATATCAAATAAATCAATAACTGTGAAACAGTAAAAATTTAAAAAACTGCAAAATTATGAATTTCCTATTGATCTTGATGACTGCTTTATTTTTCGTAAGTTTTACATTTTATTGGTTCACTTGATTTTAGAATTTTTTAATTTTTTCAATATTTTCAAGATGTCACTGGTAGTTGCTGCTCCAGATCATGGCAAAAATTCAAAATCCGTAGATGATAATTCGTACTACTCTTCTTATTATTCTTATTTCAGTACTTTTTATTCGTAAATATTTCTTGAATTATAATGTATAATTCCAACTTTATGGAGTATAGTTTAAAAAACAATTTTTTATTATAATTTTTCGAACTAAATAAAGATAAAAAAAAATAACGACTTGTTATTTTCATTTTTATATGTATATAATTAATTGTTATGTTTGATTACTTCTAGATAATGCTGATTTGTTCAATTTTACAATATTTGTTAATTTTAATAATATACGATTCTTAACAAACCAATATTGTATAATCAATCATGTATAGGTATCTAAATTGTGAGGCTTAAATATTTTTGTACTATATTTATAGTTTGAAAGAATGTGTATAACTTTCCGTTCGCTTCTGCTACAGTATTTGCACTAAAATGTTACTTATGAGCTAAGGCTAAAAATAAAATTTAACTGCACCATCTAGTAAGGAAGTTGAAACTGTACCAAATCAATTTCTGTTTATCTCTCAAAATTTTGTATAATAGAAGAAAATTTGTATAACAGAAGAAAAATCTTCAAACTCCTACACGATGGTTTCAATTCTCTACAGCGAAGGTTTCTTAGTACATTTAAAAAATAGTGTAATCTATTATATATAAATAAAAACTGAAGATTCCATTAATATGATCAACTTTATATCAAATACACATTAGCATTATAAATTATTGAATGAGGATAGTAATAACTTCTAAATTCTTATCATTTCTACATTGCTTATATTAACTGCATATCATTTTTGGTTTTAACAAAAAGTACAAACTTAAGAAGATTGTAAGTTCTTTTTTTAATTAATTGTACGGCGAAAGTTGACAAGTTTTACTATCAAAGTCATTTTATTCCGCGTTGTCCTTGAAATGTCATGATTTTGCAAAAATTCAAAAAACATAAATGATTTTCTGTTGTTTTTATATTTATTAGAACATAATTTTGTGGGAAAAAAGAAGGTGTTGTTTAAAACTAGAGAAAATAAAAGCATTTTCTTTCTTTAATAAGAAAAAAAATTGTCAAAAGAAAAAAACTTAATAAATTTATTACTTATCATCAAATTTCGCAAAAAAAATTAAGGCTTGTGTATTCTTAATTTGTCATTTATAAATTATACGAAAAAAATTGTTTTTAAATCTAAAACTCATGATGCGGAATGAACACACGACTGAATACATATTAAAAAACATTTAGTAAGTTAAAAATTATGAATATTTTAGACGTGGCACCCTTGTGCTCAAATAAAAGAAAATTTAATTATGAGATTCAAAATTATTTTTAAAAACTGTTTGATTACTAAAAAACGAATTCATTTTGATCAAATAGACTAAAGCTGACTGGAACATTTCCAAGTTTTTATACAAAGAATTTGACAAGTTTTTATACAAAGAATTTGTAAATATCATACGTGAGGTATTTTCGTACGAATAACAAATTGCAATCTTAAAATCAAGGAACTCGATCGAAATTGGCTCCGGATTCCAGAACTTGAAAAAAAAAATGTAATAACATAATATAGACAACATCTTGGGCAAATTAATTAAAATAAGTTATTACCTACACATACTTATATTAATTTGTAAAATTTTTTGTAATTTTGAATAACAAATCCAATTTACTTTTGTTCTTTCACAACAGTTGTTCTAAATACTTTTTCGACTTAATAATAATAATATTTCGAGTTGTTGTCTAAGGCAATTTTAAGAAATGTGTATATATGACTACATTCATTTTATCATATACTTATCTAAGAATTACCGTGGCTTCAAGAAACAAAAAAAATAATTTGTAAAAGTTTCTTACAAATTTAGTTTTTCTTATGTTACTGTTTCATTTTTTCAATTAAAATTATTAAAACTTTTTTCTCATTTTATATATTAAAAATTGTACACGCTTCAGCAAAAAACAAATTTAGGCATATATTGCGTACAATAAAAGAACTCTTTTCCAATATTTATTTTAGCAATTTAATTTACTGTATCGAAATTAAAGCATACTTGAGTTTAACGGCAGTACAAGAAAAAAAAAAAAGACAGGAGCAAGCATTATTTTGAAAAACAAACTTTTATGAAATTTCATCCTTTTGCACATTAATTTTAAGGGTAATGCAAGCAATATACAGGTTGATTATACGTTTATATTGTGTGTATGTCAGTTGGCCAAATGTTAAATTAAATAAATAATAAGCAAGCCTGAATTATACCCTACAACTTGACAATCAGAGCATAAGAACTAATTTTGAAATATTTAGAATTAGCTTCTATGTTCAGCTATCAGCTACGTAAATTCGTCAAGCCATCCCACAAAATCTTCAACGATATATCTGGGCTATAATTGAAAACACGTCTGCCAAATTTCAAGTGGCTAGTTTTATTATTTTTTCAATCGTTCAATATCAGGTTTTAAGGCTTTGAGAGTTTTATGACAACCACCCGAACCTGTGCAACCATTCCATTAAAATTTTCAGAATATATGTAAAATATAATTGGACACACGTTTACAAAATTTTATATTAATATTTTCTTAATTATTAAGGTATTTAAAATAATGAAATTGTATGGCAGTCCCAATCCGTTGTCCGAATCGGTCCAATTACAATAGCATGTGTCCTTGGTAAAATAGAAACCTTGAATTGTGAAAACATGGACGGAGAAACATTTTTAAATCAACGCAGAATTTTACGCTGAGCAAGATAATACATATATGTATATATGGACATTACTCAGGCGACTTCTTTAATGGTTACAAACTCCGTACTAAAATTAATATGCACTTCACGAACGTGCAGAGTATAAAAATAAAGAAATATAACAAGAAGTGCTACAAAGAAAAGGAGGATAAAGAAGCAAAGCAAAATACATTGAAAATAAATGGCAATCGGGATTTCATTTTATTCTTTTTTTGATGAATGGCCATTTGATGATGACTTAAAAAAATAATTTTTGTTTTTGATGAAAAATGAAAATTAAAAAAATTTATTACAAAATTTCTCCGAATAACGTAGGTACCTACTCATAATATATTTAAACTTGTTAGAAATTAAATTTTTGGAAATTTCATTTGTTTCTTTAAGTAAATTTTTATTACAGAAATAATTTTTTTCAAATTTCAATACTTAATATAGTAAATTAAATATATGTATATATTTACATATATGCCGGTATGTATACACAGATATGTACATATTAGAAATCAATAAATATAAAGTGAAATATGTAATAACAACGTTTTAAGGTTTTTGTACGGAAGGGATTGTTGCATTCAACAACTTACTATTATGGTTCCAAATTCAATTAAATAAAAGCCAACTTTCCTTAAATCACTATATTTGGAATATGATTTAGCAATCCAAAGATTTAACCTTTAGTTATTTAATGAAATTAAGAAGACTGCTTATGTTTTAATTTATTATGTAGCTATACAAAATTTATAAGAATTTATGTGAAACAATATATATACATAGCTAATTGGGTACATTATTTCGTTATTTTTTATCTCACTCGCATCGTTAATTAGAATTATTGTAACTTTGAAAAAAACCATTGTATTTTTAAATGCGCTATATAAATATATAACATGAAATCCGGGAATAAGAACCCTTTTCCAACATTTGATTTCTTTTGTATTGTTGTTGTAAAATTACTAGAGAATTCTATTCGATTATGCATTCATTTTTCTTATCCAATTAATAAATATATTTGTATTTATGTCAGTTTTCTCCAATATAGTGAAAACTTACTGAAGTTTAAAAATAATGTGCTTTGGGGTTTTTCTCTTCTACGTTATGTTATGTAAAAAATGTGTACTTATAAATTCAGAATTGAAATTATTAATATTATTCCAAAGAACATAGTAATGAATGGAAAGAACGGAGTAATAAAAGGTTGTATATACACAAGCGATGGTTTTGTTTCACTTTTTTTTAAATGAAATTGTAATTTATTTTGATCTTTTGAAAAATACTTCATAAAAACTTCAATTTACAGAAAGGATAAAAATAGAATAATGCTAGAAAAAAGTAATATGACAATGAAATACACGTACCCGAACCTTTTCCTTCTGAATTCTGACCAGATTTTGCAATATTTTCTTCAAATGATTCCAAACATCCTATAAGATTCTCTTATAACATTTTCCAGAAAAATTTGATTTTGATGAAAAATTTGATAATAAATTTTGTTCTCTTGTTAATTCTTGATATACATATATTTACGTACATATAGTGCCCGCAAATAGGTACAATCAATCCTCGAAAATCTCCTTTGTGAAGATTTGGATAGGCTCCCATTTATTCTAGTAAATATGTATATACATACATATGTTTGTATGTAAGTTGTCTCTCAAATCCATTTTTATAATAGTTTTTCTTGGAAACTGCTTAAGTAAACCATCCTGTTATTTTCCGCCTTTTCACAAATTGGGTTGTAGCATAATACATAAAATATTTTTCATTTTTATTTCAATTAACTTTTTATATATTTTATATTTATATTTCTTTGAAAATAATTCATTGGTTTAGCATATTATTAATATTTTATTTTGCCCAACTGAATATAAATTAAAACTGGCGTTACCGCCACAATTTTATAGATTAATATACATATATCGATGTATCGAAAATCGATAGATATCGAGTACAGCGCAAATTTCTGAAAAACGTTGATGTAGTTATACCGATATTTTTTTCGATTTATTGAGCCTTAATGTTTTTCGAGAGCGACATTGAAATTCGATTTTTAAAAATATTTCAAAATTTATGTCAAATTTGGACTTAATTTTGAATCAAAATGTCTGCTCATCAGAACATATCTGATGGGAAAAAAAAGTTATTTTTGTATAATCGGATTTATTTTAAACTTTTTGAGGAGCTCTAGTTTTGAAAAAGCAGAATGTTTTAAACATTTTTTCTCATTACAATTACATTTGAATGTGTTAAAAAAACTATTTTTAATGAGAAGAAATGGTTCCATTTAGTTTAATGAGTTGTTTTCTCATATTGCAAATCAAAAATACTGTTTTCACAAATGCACAAATCATCAACTCATTTGGCGTTTGATGTGGCGCACATGCATTTCGTTTTGGCTAGTCACGAGTAATTTTTACACGTAAAGCAAAAGGGAAATACAGGTAGAGTGGCTCAATGTGCATTGACAATGTTCCGATAAGAATCGGAATAGTCATTCAAAACTGATACAAATAATATTATATGATTTGTATGCAACTATTATTATTTATAATATTATTTTATTTTTATTTATAATATATTGTCTTCTTTTGTAAATATAATCTTTTATTATAAAGGATTTAGAATAGAAATAGTAGGGAGACTTAACAAACAAAAATTTAGTACGAGTATTAAAAGTACTCCTCTTCATATTTCATTGTTCTTTTTTTTGAAGAACTTATTAAATAAAGAATGCACATAACAAATAATAATAATTTGATTGTAGAATTGAAAGAGACATAGAAATGTAAAGTTAATGGGATTTTTATATGAAAAGATTTTATATGAAAAGATATGAAAAAATGAATATAGGTAGTGAAATATTTTAATACAGAATAGCAAAACTGCAACAAAATTCAATCCTAGAATGTTTAAAACAATTTTGAATATTTAGTAAATTTAACAATTGCGTATTAAACAATTTTAAATATTAATAAAATTTTTGTTGACAGAAATGAATGCTTTAAATACTTTCATTATCTAGTTTTTTCAATGATTCTCTTTCTTAAACCAAAGAATATTATCAAATTGAAATTTCAAGTTCAACGTCAAATAGCGTTTTTCTTTTTAGTTATAACTAAAATAAAAATCAGCTGATTGCTATTCAAAATTCTCAAAAAACAAAAATGTGTGTCTCTATTTTGTTCCAAAAAATCTGATATGGTGCTGGAGTTACTTTTATTATTTTATTTAGAAACACCTGTCAAAAACTATTTTCAATTTTTTAATTGACAATATTTTTATAAATTTCATTTAATATATGCCACTACTTGGAACTATTATCATTTTCCTTTGATTTTAAAATCAATTTGTCACAAACAAATTTCTAACATTGAAATTAAACTTGTAAACAACTGTCAAATAATTGGAATAATTTGGGAATAATTGCCAAAATAATATTAAATAACAAGTTAACGATTACAACATTTTTTTTAAAAAATTTGTTATTTAATTATTGTTTTTGCAATTAGTGTGATGCAAGACTTTGTTACAGAGAAATATAAAAGGCTAAATTTATTTTGATAAGATTTAAGTAAATTTAATAAAAATTAAAGATTTTAATAAGATTTAAGTAAATATGTATCATTTAGCAGTTTTTGACAACGTCAAAGTATATGTCAAAATTAGTATGATTTATTATATTATTTTGGTAAAAGAAATATGTTTATCATTTCTTATCTATATGATTGAGCTAAAATTCAATATGTTCCTGCGAAGGGATCTGATATAAAAAACAAATTAATCGAATGTATCTTTATTTTGACTACATCTGTTTTATGTTTAAAAATATCGACAGTTTCCCACCTCTATTGAAAAATAGGTACGCACATTAAAGTCCAAGTACCTTGTAATTTAAAAAAGATTAGCGGTCTTTAATACCAGAAAAAAAAGAATTAAAAAAAAGGAGACTTTTAAATCAACAAGTTTTCGGCTAAAACTAGATGTGTACATAAACTGTACTACACTGAGAAGCGAGAATGTAGTATACAAAAGTATTTTCTTGTACAACAACTTGCAGTGAAACGATAACTGTATAATATGTTATTAAAAACCTTATTTTTGTTGAAGATCAAAGGTAAATAAAATTTTTATATATGGTATCAATAACATATGCATATACATTATGCATACATACATATATATAAACTATGTATTCACTTAAATAGGTACATACATATGTATATGAATTTGGTAAAGCGTCATTCCTCTATATTTCTTATTCCTATGCTTTAAAACTCAGCTTTATTATTGTTCACTAAGCTTCGGGAGTCAAAATCTATCTAATCATTGTTTTGTTAAAAAACAAACAAAAAAAAACAACGTAAAAATGTGTTTTTTCATCTCTGATTCAGTTTTTATGTTTTAAAGTTTCAAATTTTTCCGTTTAATCTTTTCCAGATACCTGATAACTGTAGGATATCAACGTTAAGTAAACAGGTAAATTTAAATGTTGACGCTTTATATTTCTAAACAAAAAAAAAAGGAATGATGTAAAATTTCTCTGGATCAAAAATTTGAATGTCGAATGTAAAAGAAAAACAATAATTGGCGAACAAAAGAAGTGTTATTTTCTTGTTTGTTGTAATTTTTATTTTTTAACTTGTGATCTTTAATAATTATGTTACTATAGTTTTTTCCTTTCAATAATTTAAAATGGTGCTATATACTATTTAAATTTTATGCTTTATATTTTAAATAAGTATGATTATTGTTTAGCATGCCAAAATCATTTAAAATTTAATTTTAATTTTATATAAAATTTAGTTTGTACAGCGGGACCTACATATTATGTATGTCAAAAATTTCAATTTATCTATTTTATGTTTTATTATTTGTACTATTTTTTTGCTTTAACAAACTTCTATTTTAGTCTTGTGTTGGTTTATTGTTCTATTTATTTGATTTTTTAATCGCTTTTGTATTATAAAATTTGTACAAAAGCTCATAGAAACGGATCATAGAATTACATGTAGTTTATAAATACTTACCATAAAATTTTCATGTAAGAGACTTTCGGAAAATTTTATAAAACCTTAATTCCTGTGAAATATGCAAATATGAAACCTTTATGATTTTTTACATTAAAAATCTGAAATAATATCATTTATTATATAAATGGATCTATCTACTTAATTAATTTCTTCTCAAAGTTTGAAATTAAAGTGAGAACGTTTTCCGTTCTTTAAATGATCTCAAATTAACTAACTTACACAATGTGTGATTCCTGCTCAATTAAAAATTAATATTTGATTGAAACAAAATTTAAATTTTGCAGAAAAATCTTAAGCTTGAGAAAACATTCGAAGTTTCTTTTTTCATCCTTCTCAATTTTCTGAAGTCTTCCAAAATCATTAAATTAAAATTTAAGTTAAAAATAACTTCATTGTTGCTACTTCAAGAATTATTTTATTGTTAAGGCTTTGCGTGTTTGTGTTTGAAAATGGATTAAAACAATAATAGAAAAGTTGGTTTTTAGTTTCTTATTAATTCGGTTTTTTTTTATTCTATTTCAGCATGGCTACTTGCACAAAAGGACATCGGATAGCAATAAATGGCAACTAAGATGGTTTATTTTATATCAGGTAAAGTTCAATTCATGTGTTAATAAATATTACTTTTAAAGTAGGACATACATCTATTACGATTTTCCATTAATTTATTGTTGATTAAATAACATTAATTTAATATTAATTGAATGAGTATAAGTTAATTCAAAGTTATATGTATACCCATTTATGAAGCATAATTCTTGCTTTTTTAGGTAGGTAATTATACTTACTGACGACATTGTGCAATAAAGTTTTCTTACATTTCTTTTTTCCCTAATAAAGGAAATGTAAGGACATTATAAAAATGGATGATAAATAATTATTTAGGAAGTTAAATTTAAGTGAATAGTACCATTTTTTTTCAGTTTTACATGATAGTATAAATAAAATATTGTAGGTACTTGTTCATTTTTAATATTTTTAATATTTTATTATTACTATTGTTATTCTTATTTTTCTATTCACCATATGTACATACATATGTATTTCAATTGTGTTAATTAATTATTTATATTTTGTTTTATCACAACACAGAATTTATTATTTTATTACGAAAACGAAGCGTGCCAAAGACCATCTGGTATAATATTTCTTGAAGGTTGCTATTGTGAAAGGTTAGTTTCAGCCCCATCATGTATTAATTCATTAACATCTGGTTCTGGACAAGGCTCTAAAGCATCTAAAGAAGATAAATTACAGGTAATTATAGTATTTAATTTTAAAATATAAGAGGCATGCGAGCGTGAAAATAAAAATTAATTATTTTTAAATGATTTTTTCATTAATATACATGCATATGTACATACATATGTAGATAATTGTTTGCAAGTACATATTTTATAACTGGGTGGTACTACATATTACCTATTATGATTCACATGTGCTTTATTACACTGCATCACTAAAATGTTTTTGTTGTATTACACGGCTCTATTATAATTAATGATGAGAAATAGCAGCTTTGACATATGCGTATGGTTTAATTTAATTGCGTATGGTTTAATTTAATTGCTCATGAAAATTAGTTGTATTCATTTTAAATTATTTTTAATATTGCGTAAAATAAGCGAGAATGAAAATTATTACACAAAAATTCAAAATATAATATTGAAGAATTAAAATCGTTGCGGATGAAATTAAATATTTAGAATGATTTATTTGGCACAAAAAATTTTTACTTTAAAGAATTTAGAAATTTAAGTTATGTATGTAGGTACAAAATGCTTAAACTTAAATTATGTATAAATTTTTTTATATAATTTCCTAATAACAACAAATAGATGTTGAATTTAAAAAATATTTTTTGTTATTAATTTACTTACTTAAATTAAGTATAAAAAATAGCAAATAAAATTTATGTCGTTCAAATCAAGCCTTACGCTTATTTTGGAAGGATGTGAGTTTAATAAGTTTTGGAGTTTTCAAATATACATATTAGGTATTTCTTTTAAATAGGTAAAAAAAAATTCTTACAAATGTTGAAAAATGTCCATCAAGTAAAATTAATTTTCCATCAAATAGAATTAAGAGTTATTGTAAATTTCAAAAGAACAAAAAAAGTTTCTCATAGAATATTTCTTAGAATTTTTTTATAAAGTTTCATATTTTCAAATTATTTGAACATTTTTTTTTATATCTTGGAATTCATTTAACATTAAGTGTGCATTGAACATTCGTGTCCTGTAACATAAGCACGTTTGATATAGAACGACATAAACTGTATTAAATGTGTACATACGATCCTTTGATTTTATTTTTTTTCCTGCGCCTTAAAAAATGATATCCTTTCGAATGAAAAAAAAATAACTTTCATAATTTTAATATCTGTTTATTCGCTTACTCTTTTCCTTTTTCGGTTAACTGAAGTGGAAAATAAGACAATTTCTTTTTTTATTTTGAATAAAAAGTTGCTTTGTTTTTCTTTTATCTGAGCTCATTATTTTTTTGTATATTTCTCAGAACTTAATTTTTAATTTCTTTATTTTACTCTTTCTTTTCCTAACAATCGAATTAAAGCGGATTTATATAATAGATTTAAAGAATTAATGCATTTTGATTTTTAAATTACCTGGTTTTTATTATTTCTTGATGAAGTTAATACATCAACAATATTAAACATGAGATATTTTTGGAGCGAGGTATTTCTAACGAGTGAAATAAATGAACGTAATTGGAACAAAAGTAAAAGTAAATATACTTTAAAATGGTTTTAATTACTCAACAAGTGTATTACGAATTTTCACAATTATATGGTTATTCCTTTCCTTTTATTCAGGAATAATATTAAAGAAAAACCCGAAAATTATTTATGTAATATGTGCGTTATACATATAGAAAAATGGTTATTCTTGTCTTAATAATTTATAAATAAATCTACACGCTGCAGGCATAAGTAATTAACTTTAATTATATTATAAATCATTGGTCGGTTTTAAATTTCACATATGCCATAAGTAAAAGCGGTTCAATTCAAAAATTGTGTTAAATTATTGCTAGCTTATTTATAAAATTATTTAATTTTAATATAAAATTTTTGAAAAAAAACAGCTAATTTTATTTATTAAACGTTATGTCATAACGAAAATAAAATCAATTACCGCAAAATATAGAATTTCAATTACATAATTGAGTTTTCTTATTCTTTTCTATTGCTATAATTATAGAGGGCTTACCGCAGTAAAGATTTCCACCAAAAAAACAAAATAATTGATAGGGTAAAAAATTCACCACGAAGTTGTTTTTTATTTTAAAAATTTTTCTGTGAATAACCAAGTTTTCCCAGAATAACTTAATTAATTAATTTTATAATTGTATACTGATTACAAGAAATTAAAATGGTTAAATACGAAAATAAAATATAGGCCGGTGAATTTAGGGAATTTAGGGAAGGTCTATAAAATTGCTTTTAAATCACAAATTTTAAGACGGAAATATCTTTTTTTTGGCGGAAAATATCTTTTCAGTCAAAGCAAGTACTTCCAAATTTTTTAAATCATTTATACCTCTTCCGGGTTACTTTAAAAGCAGCTTTGTCATACATTTACATATTTTGCTATGATCATATATTGTATCTGAACTTCTAAAAAAATCGTACGATCCGCTCTATTTATTGATATAAAGTTTGTAATACCCTTTTGAAATACTTATAAAATTATAAATAATAACATCAGTGGTAAGAGTACCAAAAAATTTAAAGCAAATATGAATATGAATTTTAAAAAGTTTGAATGTCTTTATCATTGATAATAAAGTTTAATTACTTTAGGAGTGAAAAAATAACTTCTAAATTAATTAAATTTTATTGTCATCACATTATCTCTCAAAAAATGACGTGATGTGTTTATTCATTATTAAATTTAAGTTTTTAGAACACAAAAATTTAATCAAATCTATAATTTTCTTTACAACAATTATAATGAAAAATAACTCTTTCGTCATTTTTAATTTTCAGCATTGCTTTTCAATATCCTTTAGACGTGAAAATCAACGACAGTATGAATTAAGAGCCAATACTGAATCTGAATGTTCTGCATGGATAATAGCTATACGGGAGGCCAGGTAATTTCATTAAGGCATAAATAAATAATAATAAATGTTCGCTTTTGTTAATTTAATCTCTTCGACACCATAGGAAAAAATAATTAATTTGTTATTGTTTCATCAAACCGTTTGATTGAAAAATTATCAATTTTTTGCAGCTCTTTTTTTTAATACATATTTAACGTCATTTATTTATTTATGTTATTTTTTATGTACTCATCCATTTCCTTTTTTTGGGTTTTCTTTTAGCTTCAATAAACTTTTATTGCAAAAAGAAGAACTCGAACAAAAACATGTACATTTATTGCAAGTTGTTGAAAGTGAAAAAACAGCAAAATGGCAATATACACAACATTGTGAAGAATTAGCATCGGAAATAAAGAAATTAAGAGCGGAGGTGAGATTGAAAATTTTATTTCATTATTCAAATGCAGTTTAATGTTTTTAGAATATTTGTTTAGATTGTAAATATTTTGATTTTTGTAAATTTAAAATTGTGGAACAAGCTCTAGAAGAAAAACGATATCAAAAATATGTAAAAAACGGATTTTTGGATAACGATAAATTTTACCGGTTTTTGTTCAAATATGGTATGCCGTGGTACAAGAAGCAAGATACTATTTTTCTTCTGCCAAAATAAAAATCTAAGTACATTTGAAAATTCAGTTTCTATCTTCAAGGGTGTAGAAGTTTTGTAAACATGTCCACGGACGGACGGATGGGCGGATGAATAAGTAATAAACACACTTTTTCAAAGTTTTTTTTGTAAAAGTGTTAAAAAATTCATTAAAGATCTAAATGAACTATTTATATGCATATGATGTATGTATGTATGAATTTTTTGAGTACATATACACTTGAATTAAGTTTGAATAAAATGCAATTATATTTGCAAATTATAAATAAAGCATAGTTCCGATGCAATTTATTTGAGGTAAAAATTTAATTACAATAAAGTGCACTTCTGGAAAATTTTAAATAAACACCTTTTAGGTACAATTTTCTTTATCAACCTTGAAAATGTTATAATGAGAACTTATTATTAGAACAAACAAATTTTAATTATTTAATTTTTAAACTGATAAATTTAATTCTGTGTTCTGTTTTTTAACTTATGTCTGGTAGAAATTAATTTACAGAATTATTTTTATCAGAATTATAACTAGTCTATTATTGTTTCAAACTGACGACTTATTTTAATCATGATTTTAAAAGTGTTGTTACTTTTTTGATTTCGTCCTGTAATCACTTAAGGAAAAAGGCTTTGAGAGAATTTTAGAATATTAATTTTGACTAGTTAAGCTGTTTTAAAAAAGATTTGTATTTTTAATTTTTAGATTTTTAAAGCTAATAATTCGAAAATTCTAAGGGAATTTGTCGATATGGAGAAAAAGTCAATATTTTACGGCATTGTTAAAGAAATGTGTTGATACTATATAGTTTAACAATAATTTTCTGTTTCTTATTCAAATTCTTAAATCTTTAAAATGAAATTTAAGTGAAAGTATTAGAACTGATTTATTTTGTTTTGACCATAAGCACCAATATTTTCACATTTTTGTGTACATATACCTTTTGTATATGTATATTTGTTATATAAATTATAAAAGTATTTTGAAACTTTAATTATTCTGGTTAACTGAAAGATATTAGAAATTACTTTTACTTTTTTATTTTATTCATTAATTTTTTTTCTTTTCTTTATTTGATTTATTTTTGTTAATTTTATTACAAAAAAAATTCTTTTTACAGATTTGTGCTTTACGAAAAGAATGTAAATCAACGGTATCGAGCACTCGTGAAAGTAGACGTGAAAGTTTCGCAATTGTTTGTGAACCACCACAAAGTGATGAGAATACAAATTTAACAGGACTATGCTCTCAAGTTCAAGATTCTGTTGAATTACGTAAAATAAAAAAGGTAAGAATGAAAATTTAATATGAAAAGGTATTTGTTTTTCATTTTTTCAATTTTTTTGCTTTCCCTTTCCATGAATATGTAATTTGTAAGGAAAAGAAAATATTTTATTACTTATTTACCAAAAAATATGTTGTATTTGTATTTGTAGGGAAGCTAAAAATAAGCAGTTAACATATCGATACAACAAATTTAATAATTTTTTACAATTTACAAAAGAAAATTTTTTGAAATTTATTGTGAGATAATATCAAAACTTTTATGTTGTAAACTACTTGTGTTTCAATTTGTTTAAAGAATGGGTGAATATGAAGGAATTAAAACTATCAAAGACCAAAAATTGACATTAAATTAGTTTAAAAGCAAACAAAGTTTTCAAGTATATTGTTTTATATGATTGTCCCAAGTTATCATTTATTATATATTGCAGACCCATTCGGTATAAATAACAACATAAATTTTTAAAGTAGTATCAAAAGAAATATTGGCACACTACTACGTTTGATTAATGGTTTATTTTTTTTGGAAAATTTTCAAGAAAAAACCATTGTAACGATTGTTTTTTTCTGTATATGACCATCGGTAACGAGTTTCATAATTGATAATAAATTACAATGTTGTATGTGCATATAAAATAAAATTTTTGTGAATTTAATTCAATAAATCAATTTTGAAGTTTTGATTTCTATTAAATAATTGGTTAATATTGAATGAAATAATTGAATTTTTCCATTCTATTTGTACAAATGCTTGTATTCTTATGTGTTCAATTTTTTTTTATATTTTAAATTTATTATAGATGAAATAAACATGCATTATATAAAAAATGTTAGTAGACTGGAAAATTAAATTTGTTTCTTTATTTATAATACATAATATTACAGTAACAGATTTTTAACAAAATTTAATCATTGGGAAGTTATTGTATTTAAAAAACTAAAGTAGTTGTTCAGTCTTATTATAGTTATTGTAAAAGTTATATTGATATTTCAAATACAATAATAAAAAAATAGATTCGATCTGTAAGTTTAGAATAATAAAACGATAAAAATTATTAAATGGAGTGTGCAATAATAATTGAATTTAATTTTGTGAAAACTCTGAAAGTCAGAAATAAGTGTATAATTTTTTAGTTAGAAAGCATTTTTTAATTTACAGAAAAAGTTACAAACATAATATAATTGAAATTAAATTCGTTTATTCTGTATGTATAAGAGAATCAGAAAAAAACTTGAATGTGCATTTGAAGCACATTATTTAATTAATGTCTGTCCAATGCAGTATGGGCAGTAAATCCTAGGTCACCTGTTCTCATATGAGATCCATATAATTTTTTATCATTTTTCATTTTTATATGCGTATAATAAGGGATTTGTGTTCGCTATTTAATTTATGTAAATATCTTAGGGTGGAACATTCGAGTTGTTTTTTTTTCAGGCATAATAATGAAAATATGTTTGCTAAAGTTAAATTAGAGCGTAGGGATTCGAGTAGCATGGTAACACGGTATACGGTAGTATGGTTTTTTAGTTTGATTTAAAACGAACAATAAACCGAAATCTAAACAGCTGCTGACATTTTTTATGTATCATTTAGTTTGTAAATAAATAATACAGAAATAAGAAGCAAAAGTATTTTGTGATCTATAATTGTTTTTTAGTTTATATAATTTGTAATATTATATAAATAACAGAATTATATAAAACCTACATATAACAAGGGAATTTAGAAATTCTGAAACCCATGTGCCATATGTAATTTAATTTAAATTTATATGTTAAGTTTAAAATAATAAAGCCATAGCAATACTAATAAATTATTTTCATTCCTCTCTATAAACTGGCGATCCACCCTAATATACATGTAATATGTTATATAAAATCACTCAGGATTATAAATTTAAAGAAAAAGCTAACATAAACGGTATTTTATCCGAAGTATTATTTTATGTGGTAGATATCCCAAGTGCGTTTTAAAGATTTCTTTTCTAGTCAATTACTTTTCCATTTCATATACTTAAAAGAGAATTGAAACGTGCTTTAATAAAGATTATATTCGTTTATTGCTTTTAATTTAATGTTAAGGATAGATAATACAGACAGAATACAGTTTTGTGTGTAATCAAAAATAAATTTGTTATTTTCGCAATTGGAATGATATAATTATGTATTTTTCAATGTATATGTGGTAATTTGTATTTTTAGATGAATATTATAGATTTGTCATACACATACATATGGTTAAATAATTTTTAGCCTGGTTTATTTGATAATGTTTGACAATATCCATAAAGATTTTAATATGTGCACAATTATCGTTAGCTAATCTCGGTTATGTTTATAAAATTCACATAATTTTTGAGAGTAAAAATTTGGCTTATAAAAATATTTTTCAACAATGCTTCGAATAATTGAAAAAGAAACTTTAGAGTTAGTAACTATCTAATCGATCTCTTTTGTGTCCATAACTTCAAATCGGGTACTTTTATTCATCAGTGTAGCACCAGAGCATGTCCTAAAGCTCCAAAGTAAAAAACATCTAAACAATCCATTTGAATTGAACCAGAGCCCTGATTTTTAGTCAATTAAAAAATATTTTGATGTTATTTTTGGGTTTCTTCTGCCGACTTAAGGATTTAAAATTTGTAAATATAATTCACAATTTAAGAAAAAACAAAAAAAACTTAGTTGTCGTCTTTCTCTTTTGTATGCATTTGAAACTAAACCCGGAGAGTATTTTTATTTAAAATTTGAAAATTTTTTTTACAAAATGTATTTTAATCTCAATTTTTTGCCTTTTTATAAAATATATCTCGAAGGTTCAAAGTTTTTTTCGTGGCTGGTTATGCAGAAGGCGATGGAAACAAATAGTTGAAGAATATATTAAATCACCACATGCCGAAAGTATGAGAAAAAGAAACCATCTGGTTTTTAGTATGGTTGAAGCTGAAGAAGAATATATGGAACAATTAGAAGTAAGCAAATAATTTAAATATCTTTCATATTATTGTGTACCGTTGCTAAAGAATTCATTTCGATGTAAAATGAGTTTTCGTTATTTTAAAATATACGACTCGTTCCCATGGAACGAGTTAGTTAATTAAAAAAAAAATTACTAATTCTTGACGAATTCTTGATTTTCATTGAAACGAAACCCGCGGTGTCGGATATTCACTTTACAAAATGAGTAAACTCAGAGTTTTTATAAAGATTTATTTGTTTTAGATTTTAGTGTCGTGTTTTTTAAGACCATTTCGAATGGCAGCTAGTTCAAAAAGGCCACCATGTTCACATGAAGATGTTAATTCAATATTTTTAAATTCAGAAACAGTATTATTTTTACATCAAATATTTTTAAAAGGTTTAACATCACGTTTGGAATCGTGGCCGACATTAGTTTTAGGTAAGTTATTCTATACAAAATTGGTTTATATAATTATTATGATCACATTTTTAAAATAATGTTATTTGATAAATTCAAAAACATTTAATTAATAAGTAATTAAAAATTATTCTAACTTTCGAAAAGTCCTCTGTACCCCATCTCTTTGATTGTTTGATTTAGTTTAAGGACAGCTTGTAATATCATTAATTACCATTATTTTATATAAATACTTAATTTCAAACCTTTATAAAAGAACCTTGAAAAAAGTAAAGAAGAATTAAAAATGAATGAATGGGCAACTGTGGTTTTCATTAAGTGGGAGGAGATGATGTGAAGTTTGTCTTTTATCAAAATTTATGTTACTTTTTCTTTCAGTCTACATCACAACGCACACATAGCTTTCAGCTACTTTTTTTTATGGATTCATCTCATTAATTTTATATTTTGGATAAAATCCTATTCATAAAAATCATTTTTTTCCTTTCCTTTTATTTAAGTTAACCGCAACTACGATGGTGTTTAATTCACTTTATTTTATATTAAATTATTTTTTACACTTTAACTAATGCGATGCCATTTCGTCTAGGTAAATAAAGAAAAGAAAAATATAGCGGAGAGACGACTGCCTTCCGTCATTAAAACGTTAAAATAAAGGCGGCTTGTGGTAATGTAATAAACTAAAGTTGATAAAGGGACTCGAGAAAAGGAAAAGCGAAATCGGGAAGAATGATAATGAGAAAAATAAGAAAAAGTAACATGCAAATGAAATTATGAAAAAGTAAATAATATAATTTTTTTTTTTTGAAAAGAAAGAGAAGAGAAAATCATCGGCAGACAATGATATGTGCAAAAATTCGTTTTGCGATCTTTTCTATTTCCGTTATAAAGAATAAAAATTAAGCAAATTTTGTACTTTAAAGCAGATTAACATTTTGTAATTGTTTGCACATTGGTTCCCAAATGATGTAGTGCTATTAAACAGGGATCCGTTCGTCCCTTCCGCAGTATGACTACATATTTATATAATTTGTATTTCCTTGAAAATAATATGTGAGAACATATTATTTTCAAAATCTGTGCGAAAATAACCTGACCCAGCATACACACAAAGCTAAGCTTGTTTTACTAAATTTTTCTTCGACATTATTGAAATACATTACATTTTAACTTTATAACATTTAGTAATATTTTTTGAAAATAAAATGAATGTATAATTAAATATAATTTTTATATATATTAGGTGATTTATTCGATATGCTTTTACCGATGTTAAGCATATATCAAGAATATGTACGAAATCATCACTATAGTTTGCAAGTGTTAACGGAATGTAAAAGCAACCCCAATTTTGCGACCGTATTGAAAAGATTGGAAGCAAAACCGGCATGTCAAGGACGAAGTTTAGAAACATTTTTAACATATCCTATGCATCAGGTGATTTAATATACATACATTTTTATTTTGTAGCATTATTCACTATACTACATATCCTATGTTGAATAGAATATGTGGTACATATTCTGCCAACTGGGACAACAGTGCACTGAATTAGAATCTAATGTCCCCCTCCCCCTTGTGGGTCCGGATCCTTTCCTTAAATTAAATAAGAAAGTAACAAACAATATCTTCTCATAGCAATCAGTTTTCGTAATCATTTTGACTATTTTTCAATATTATCTAACTTGCCTGTTTGATATCTAATAAGTCTACAATTACATTGCAATACTTATAAATTATATTTTCTCATAAAAGATGTTATTAATTAAATAGTTTAACAATTTATTTGAATTCATCAAATAATATTCCCCTTGTCAATTTAATAATTATGATCACCTCAAATGATATTCCTCATGGTAAAGAAAATACATTTCGAATCACTAATTTGTTAAAATATAACTAAAATTCCTTTTATTTTGTAAACAATTTCATGATTGAATAAAATATCGTGATAAATTTTAACAATAACTATAATAATATTGTAATTAAATTTTATTTTTTTAAATCAGTTTATAATCTCTACTTTATTCTATAACAATTGTATAACTAATCATTTAATAATCACCTTTATGTACTGTTAACTTATCAACTTTGCTTTCATCGCAAAATGATTTTTCCCTCAAAAGGATATTGTGTAAAATCGCAAAAACAAAGAAAAAAGAATAGAAAAACATCGTACTAAAAGTTTCTTATTTTGTCGTCTTCAATACTGTCTCATTTCTATTCTCAATTCTATATTTATATTGTAGAACAGAATAATTTTTATTTTTTGAAGAAAAAAAATAAAATAAATTTTCTATGCTAAATTAAATACTAATTATATCTTTCTATTCTTCTATTTTTTTATATTCTTTTTTTGTGTTTGGATTTTCTCTTGCATTAAATTATATTGTATTTACCTTAATCCAACCAACCAACCAACCAACCAACAAATGAATGAAATTCTAATAACTACATAATAAAAAATACAATGTTATATAAAATTTATATACACTACATATGGCACTATGTATAACACTATATTCAACATTCAACAATTACTTACATATATTTTATTTTATAATATACATTTAATAATATAAAATTATATTTAATGATGTTATAATGTTTATATATCTATTCGTTTGTAATTATAATAATGCAGATTCCACGGTATATTATAACATTACATGAGCTATTAGCACATACACCTCATGACCATGTTGAAAGAAAAAGTTTACAAAATGCAAGACAAAAACTTGAAGATTTATCAAGGCAGATGCATGACGAAGTTTCGGAAACTGAAAATCTTCGAAAAAATTTGGCTGTGGAACGTATGATTGTAGAAGGTTGTGATATTCTATTAGATGTCAATCAGGTTTTTGTGCGACAAGGTAAATATGAAAAAAAAGAAAAATTTCTTTCAGCATAAAAAAGTGTTCAGAATAAAAGTTCATATAACTTTTTTTTGGTTAATATTTTCTTTTAATATGAAAGCTTTAACATTTAAAAGCTATTGGTTCGTGTTCTCGATTTTATATTTTGGAATAACTGTTAAAATAACAGTAATTTTGAACTTTCTAAAGCTTAAACTATTCAAAGCTTTTACTAATATTTACGACATTGTAGAATTATTTAAATTAAATTTTTGTTATACGAACCATAAATACTCAACAAAACATTTTAAAATTTTTTCAACTACAGAACAGCCATATAAATAACGTTTACTTTGAAGAAAGATTGTAAAAGCTTTTGCATTGGGTTTTATAATATTAATTTGCATAAAAGTTGTTTTGAAAGCTAAGTTTTTCACATTTGGTTTCCGTCTGAACTTTTTAACAAACTTGTATGTAATGATTATTGTGAATTTGAATTTTTTTATTTTTTAATCCATAATATAGGAAGTCTGGTTCAAGTGCCACCAGGAAAAGGACGAATACGAAGCCGTTTAGCTTCTTTTAAAAGTGAAAGAGAAACTGTACGGCAGTGTTTTTTATTTTCAAATCATCTTATCATCGCAACCAGGTAAATACAACATAAATAATTTCAAAAATTTCTTAAGTTTTCTAAAATACAATAATTTTATAATATAATTTTGATTTTTATAATGCAGAACTTCCGGGGGTCGTTTACATTTAGTTCCTGATGTTGGCAAAATTCCATTAGCTGATGCAACGCTAATTGAAGATCCTAGTGATTCAGAAAAAGAAGAGGATGGTAAATAGTAAACGTTTTCTTGAAACTCAAGAATATAATATATCCTGCTTCTCATATTTTAATAAACAGATACTTCATCTCATCAAACTGATGGTGGCAGTTGTCTTAGTGTTAATGAATCATTGAATAATCCTCCAAGTCATCGTGATTTTAAAATATTAATTGATAGTAAAAGTGGTGCACGGCATTGTATACATTTAATAGCTGCAACTGTGCAAGATAAAGAAGCATGGATATCAGATATATCACAGTGCATGGACAATATTCATTTGCATTCATTATTTTCACCTGGATTATTAGGTTCATCTGGAGGTGAAGGGTACAATTTAATAATGATTAAAGAATTAAAAAGAAATTAATTGAATTTTTTTTTTCATTGCTTTTGACGTTTTTTTTTTTGTAAAATTCTTGAACAATGAACTTTAATAAATACAGGTTCGATAGCACATCATCATGCTCTGAGAGCAGATCCTCGTTTATTTAAGGATGACGTAGATATAAGATTTTCTAGAACACTGAATTCATGTAAACTTCCACAAGTACGCTATGCTACACCTGAAAGACTTTTACAAAGACTTACAGGTAAATTTAATATTTGCTATTTTTTATACTAAATTGAATTTTAACTTAATAATTTTCAATAATACTTTATCCTTGTTGTTTTAGATCTTCGGTTTCTTTCTATCGATTTCTTAAATACATTCCTCCTGACGTATCGTGTCTTTACTGATGGAGAAACAGTATTAAATGCTTTAAAGCGGGTATTTTATGAACCACCACTCGATCAACAATGTGATTGTGATCCACAAGTTGACTTATTGGATATACCTGGATCATTTGATGGTGGTTATTCATTGAGGAGAACATCTGCCGCTAGTTCAGTGTCAGGTAATTATACAGTCATTTTTATAGTAATTTTAAATATAAAAAACTATGCCCTGTTTGTAAAGTAATTTAATACATACACCTATTTTATAACTTTTGTTTGTGATAGTCTTCTCTGGATAAGCACCCCTGTTTGTCGTTTTTCAAAATAATTCCTAAATTTGAGTCAATATTTTTCTGAAATTGAAATTAATTTTATTCCAGAAACTACTAGTTTGTAAAACGTTTAAAGCAAATTTCACGATTCAAAATTTAAATTTCTAAAATTAAGAGACGATATTCTTCTATGTAGATCAGGGAATTTGAATAAATACTGTGAATTTTGAATACATAAGTTCCTTCTTGCTTTATTCATTAAAATTACATACATTTTAAAAATGAATATTATTTTAAAATAAAATCACAAAGTGAATATTAAAACATTTAAAATATCTGTGCATTTTATTTTTAAAACTTGACTTTGAATCAGCAATATAAAGCCAAATTTTCTTATTAAACTAATGATTTTGTTTGTGTAAAAACCGTATATAAAGAAAATGAAAATTTAAATATCTAAAAATTAAATAGTTAAAAATTTTTGGTTAAATTATTTTTAAAATTTTGTTACTACTCACCCCAGCTAATGTCGAAATAGACAATGGTATCAAGCCACCGGAAATAATGATGTTATCAATTTGACTTCTCTGCATGAAAATGATTAAAACTTTACGAAATTTTAAATCTTGATTTATCCAATTGCAATTAAAAATTGCTGTTGTTAAATTTCTAGACTCATATAAAAATTCATTAGCCAAAAGGCAACATGGTAAAACTTCAAGAGTTACTGCACATAAATACATTAAAAATGCTATTTTCACTGGATTACTCGTTTCCGGATAAACAATATTAATTACTGATATGCAAAACATGAACGCTGTCACAACAAGTTGAATAAATGTCACTTGACCAATTATTGGGCCAATTAAATTGAACATGCTAAAATAAATTAACATACAAATTATTTTCATGCTTAAAATATAGTTTAACTAATGACATGTTATATATTGTCTAACACATGTAAGAGAGCTGTGGTTTGAGATGAGAGTTATGATTTTCAAAGAGGTTTTACGCAGTTTTGCACCAAAATCATTTGTACATTGAGAGATTTTAAGTAAATGTCTCTTCTTAAATTTAGTAAGCTAGTAAGCATCTCTTTTTTAAATTTAGTAAACAAATAGGAATTTTTTTAAATAGTAAACAAATCGTAATTGTTTTCAATTCATGTGTAATTTTCATGCATGATTCAAGTGCCAAGAAAGTAAAAATACATTTATATTGTTTGTTTAAAAAGATATAAGTTTCATTAAATTTAATTAAATAATACATAGTAAGTTTTGCAAAATTTTAATAATAAAAGTAATTTAATTGTGAGCTTTATTATAAATTATTTACATTATGTTTGTACGTAGTAAAATTTATAAATTAAAATATAGGTTAAATTAAATGTTAATTATGTATATACAAAATAAAAAAGGGATTCTGTAACAATTAAAAACCATAATATGAGAATGAAAATTTACTGAATTTTAATAGCGATTTAAATATAAAATCAATTATTGATGCAATTATAAAATCATCTTAATTTTATTTAATTCAATTTGTATATAAAATTGTACTAGATATGTACGAATATACACTTGAATAAATTATTGATTCATAGTTTTAATTCTTATTCAATATAATTGCATTTATATGCTAATTTATTATAATAATGTTAATTGAATGCAAATAATTTATACGGGTAGTATTTAGAATTTATTAAATTTTTATTTAAAGATTTTTCTACATAAATATTTTATTTGGAATTGATAAATTTTTTATTTTTATATCAATTTATTAAATAAATTTTTACCAATGAAAATTTAGTATTAGATGGATTTTATATTAGGAAAAATGTTAAGTGAAAATTTTTAAGTTACGAAAAAATCTTTTATATTGTCTATGCCAAATTATTGTTTTAATACTTGTTTTATGCTTGTGGTGAGAATTAACGGGGTTTATTCTGAGTGTCGAATCACTAAGTGATAGAGATAATTGTAAAAAGTTTGATATTATTATGTGAACAAAAACATAATTGTTCTAAAATCGTTGCTAAATATTTAATTTTTTTTTAACAAATCTGAGCTTTTTTATCGCTTTAAAGTAAATATTCTCATAAAATATAAAGTAGCACATTGAACTAAATAAAAATATTTTTACCTTAATATAGTTTTGTGATCCTTGATGCAACTAATTAAATTATTATAGTTCTCTTTATTACGGTTATGATTCGTTTTACCAATATTCGATACACGAATATTTAATGCTTTCATATGTCCTAAGAGAATTGCAATATATGTTGGAGGAAATATATCATTTCCAACATTTTGCAATATACATAATATTACTGCTATTATTTGATGGGAAAGTGCAATTAGAAAATATTTGTTTGTATCAAAAGGATATCTTGCATCTAAAGCTAATTCCCTTCTAATTGATGCTTGAACCAATTGTATTATTCCAGCTAAACAATTAACTGTATTATAAATAATAAATGCTAGACCACAACGTCGAATAATTTTAATTAAAACTTGTTTCTCTTTAAAATTTTTAATAATTTTGAGATCAAGTTCTTTAACATAAAACGAAAAATTATATATTTCTTTACGATAATAATGAATTATTGAAAATTTAATTAAACTTGTAATTATAGATGAAGATATTGTTAAACTTGATATTAAATTTGTAAGAGATTTTGATTCAATCATTGCAGCAATTAATGTTAAAACATAAAAAACGTTTACGAAAATATTGATAAGAATTCCATAAATTAAATAGAGAATTTTTTTAATTGGATTTTCTATACAGAAATTAATTCCAAAAAATTTCCATATTAGCCAAATATTTTTAAAAGCTTCATTAGAATCAAAATTTTTTCTGATTTTTCTTTTAAATAGGTTTTTAATCATGTTTTTTACTTGGTCTGATTGCTTTTGCTTTTAAACGATGTTCACTTATTATTTGATTTATTTGGTGCTAGGTACGATTTTTTTTTTTAATTTAAGGTATAAAGTAATAGACTATCAAATTAATACTGCGCTAATATAATGTTATATACGATGTGAAAATTAATAAAAGTGTTAGAGAATGTTACGCGAGAATAAAAAAAAACCGTTTTAACCCTTTCGCTTAACAAAATTTCGATTGTTGCGTGTTAAAGTTCATTTAACAGATTTATAAGGTAATTTAACACCTGATAATTATAATTATTTAAATTGGAAATATTCATATCCGTTTATTATACATTTGTTCATATAGATAAATGATTGCTAATACGATATCCTTAGGAATTTTATAATATATAGCTCTATATTAGAGACGTTAAGGTGCTTAACAACAATTACATTAATGAAATTTTAATTAAATGGGGGATTTATGTATTTAATTACAAGTTATGTCATAAATATACATATTTATTGTACATGTGAGATAAGTAGAGCATAAATAAATAATATTTTGAGTCAGGTAATTATTATTTAAATCTAAAAAATTGGGTTATAGAGGGATTTCGATTTGGAAGTATTGTATAGAAATGATGTTTAGACTTAACGAAAGATGACATTATTTTGAATAGCTTTTTCAAAATATTTTGAGTAAGACTTTCTTTAGAAAGGTCAAAAAAACTTTTCTTTAAAAATAACAGGTAGGACGTTGAATTAACCTTTCAAATAAACTGCTTTCTTTTTTTTTAACTGGTTTTAATTTTGAATTTTATTTATTATTTAATATAGAAACCTTATTTATTTAAAATCATGTAGAAGTACATTGTTCTCTTCTCCAAAAATGTACCCTGAAAATGATTCCTAAATAAATTAGTTTATTAATACCCTTATTATGATCGGTGAAGCGAATGACTAGGCGAGTCGAATGAACTAGAGATTCGAATAACATTTTAAATTATCATCGGTGAATGCTTTCATTCGCCAGATCCAAAATGTTAAATCCAAAATTCGCCTAAAATTTAGGCGAATTCGCTAATCATAATACCAAAAATTTATATTCGTAAAAAATTTCATTCGTTTCGCCGTAATGAATTTTTTCTTTATAGCTTAAATTAAATAATATTCTTTTTTGAACAATTAGCACATTTCATATTAATTGGCAACACTGATTATAATTTTATTATTGAGTGTTAATAAACTTTATACCATTTTACACCATAATATTTTAGAATTAAGTGCATATAAATTGTATATTTTAATACACATACATTCTTATTTTTACATATTAAAATCCTTTTTTTTTATATAATTCTTCAATCTATACGTATTCATGTTATAATAAATCCTTCATCATCAAGTAAAATTTAAGAGAATTCATAATAAAATATCTTAGAAGTTTTCGAATGATGATAAAATTGTGTACAAGGAAAATGCAAATTTCACTATCTGAAAATAAAATAATATACAAATGCATAAATAAATATTATTTATATAAATAATATAATATAAATTTATATATATATATACAAAAACATATTATGAATATTTTATTTATTAAAATCTTGTAGTATAAATGTGTATATGTGCATATATTTATAAAATTATAAAGTACATCAAATCAATTACAAGTATTAAATATTTACATAAATTAATTTTATATAAATTGTATAATATTATTTAGTGAATGCTCTATATGAATGTTACACAAAATTCATATTCTGATTTACTTACAAAATTTTGCTCTGATTTATTTTACAAAATATGTTATTATGTAAGTAGGTCTATTAAAAAATAATGAGAATTTTCAAAAGCGTTTCAAAAAACTGATCTTTCATCACTAATATATCACAGAGACGAAATATTTCATTAAATACCTAACCACCCTTTCACATCTAAACACAAGAAACATATAATATTTTAGGAAGGTAAAGCATATCGTTTCGTAAGTGATATTAATTAATGATGGAAACGCACAAGTAAAACATTTCTATTAACTATGTGGAGATCATTATTTTAGGTTGAAAATTGCTCTGCTATAACATTGTTTTTAAAATTAAATTCATAGTTCTTATCCTTTTTATGATTAAGAGTTTAATTACCTTATTTTATTCCCCCATTTTTATTTACTATGATTACAATTATATAGTCTTCATTTATTTCACGTGAGATGTAGAAAATGTGGGCTGTAGAAGATAGGTTAGCTTAGGTAATAAAGAGATTCTGTTCAACTTTTAACCAAACTATGTATCTTGCAATTTACAAGATTTTTAGATGACTTCGTAAGATTTTCAATTCAAATATATAACTTGCACTTATGTATGTATATATGTGTGTATAATACTTTATATAATATACGAATTTAATTTTTTTTTTTTTTTTTTAGAAAATACTTACAGAAATAATTGTACCAATTGTTAAGTCTGTTATACCACCAGCTTTAAATGCAATTTTCTTTTGTGTTCCTTGCATAAATACAATTAATGCTTTACGAAATCTTATATTTTGTTGTAACCAATCACATTCATATATTGATGTTGTTAATTCTGAATATTCATAGGTGAATTGATTTGCAAAATAACAGCAAGGAAATATTTTTAATGATAGAGTAAATATAAATATGTATGAAATGATTTTCTCTTCATATGATGATTCAAGTATTGTAGCCTTGACTGCTGACATACAAAACATAATACCAATAAGACATAATTGCACAAATATATCTTTACTTATGACGTAATCTAAATCATTAAACATCCTGAAAAAAAAGATATGAAAAATATGAAAAATATGAAAAATATATAAGCACATAAATATAATATTTGTATAAATAATCTATATACAAATATAGAGTTCTTATGTATATGAATGTATGAATATGTAAATTTGATGATTTTGATGAAAAACAGAGAAAAAATGTTTTTTTTTTTTAATAAAGTAAAAAAATAATTTAACAAATTCTTCAAGAAATTAAATTACATAAGAATTTGCATTTTTATATCACAAATATAAAAAATATTATATTTTTTTTTCTAAGACCTTAGAATGCCATTTCATTTTGGAGAAGAATAACAAAAATTTTTGTTGAATTGAATGAATAAATTTGATGACTTATGTTTTTTTGTCACAGAAAGGAGTATAAAAACAGAAGAATTGATGGGCATTGGCTTAGCTTTTTTTCTTCTAAAGAATATTAAGGAATGTATTATAAAATTTAAGTATTTTTCATTGAATTTATTCCAAAATATTGAAATCATTTGCTATAATAATGCTTATTTCCATCTTTATATTTGAAATTATAGAAAACATTACCTCTGAAAAGAACGGAAAGCATTTTAATTATTGTAAAATTAAACAAGTGAATTTTGGAACCAAAAAAATTTATTATTGCCTAATTAAAATTTCTTTAGTATAAGTCTGAATTTATATATGTATATGATGTTTTTCTCCAGAGGGGATTTTCAAATAGAACCTCAATTCATTGAATTTTAGTTATTTCATATTATTTATTGAAATATGAAATTGGAATTTTCGAATCTGGTTTGTTTTTAGGATGTCGGCACTGCTTTGGCATGTATGTTTCTTTAGGTCTATATAATTACATTAATCTTAAACTAATGAAAAGTACCCACTATGCCTTTCTTCTATGAACTTTGCAAAAATGAAACGTAAAATGTAAAACAAAAATGACAAATTTTATTTTGCCAATGCAGTTTTAAATAAGAATATTTTAACTTACCTTAGAATGATTCTGTGATCTTTAATACATTCAACTAATTCTTTATAATTTCGTCTATCATCAAACAAAAAATGTTTACCAATTTTTATAACTCTTAAACGTAATGCTTTAATATGTGCTATTAACATTATTATATAAACTGTAGAATAACTTTCATTAGGTGATACTTGAAAGAACAGCAATGTATAACATAAAATTTGTATCGGCAATGCTAATTCATAATAATAAATTTTATAATCGAATGGAAACCACATTTCTGTCATTAATTTATGTTTGGCTACGCTTGATATTGTTACTAATATTGTTGTAATTAACATTTGAATTGTAATAAATTTAACAATATTTGTACCTAAATTTATATGATACTTTAATATTTTCTTTTCATCATCACCTTCATTATTATTATTATTACTGATACGTAGATCAAGTCTTTTCAAATACGTTCTCCAATTTAATAATTTATTACTTGAATATATTAATGTTACTTGTTTAATTGTAGATGTTAATGCTGTTAATGTATGCGGTAATATTTGAAATAAATATGCAAAATCCGATGTTGACATGAATGTAAGAGCTAAACTAGCACCAGTATACCAAATATTGCAAACAAAATTATGAAATATAATAAAGCTTATACTTAACATTCGTTGATAAAAATGATCATATTTTGGTATATAGACACCAGTCTTTGACCAACAGAACCAAAAAAAATTAAGTGCAACATTTGTATCTAATTGATCCATTTATTATAGTGTATAAGAAATTTCAAATTTAATATTATTGTACGAATTCTTATAGAGTTGATGTGGTTTTGAACACTTTGAATAGTTGAAAATTTTCAAAATTCTTATTAAGGTTTTAAGACATTTCATTTAATTAAGTAATTATTTCATTATTTTTTTGTTAAAATATTTAGTATGTTGGATAATTGAGGATATTTAATTATAATTTTATTTTTAGCTCTATTTTAGAATTATTCTGTAGAAAAAAAAATTAAAAGCCTCAACGTTAATTTTTCATTTAAATTTGTTGAATTTATTGAAAATTTATAAGGTAGCTGTAGAAAATGCAATGATAAATTTTATAAACTACTATGTAATTCATTAATATATTGGGTTATCTTGTAATTTTCAAAAATTAGAATTTACATGAAAAGTTTGCAAAAAATTTAAAAAATTTGTTTACTTATTTATGAATTAACTGGGTTTTAAACTGTGCAAGCAGGTAATGCATTTGTTGATCTGCAAAATCCAACAATAATTTGCAACACAGTATTTCAAATGCAAATATTAAAATGATTCTTTAAAGGATTCGGACTTTTGTTAACGATTAAAAAAGTTGTAGTTCTTGAAATTGCAAAGATCAGTTTTAAATAGCAAAAATATTCATTGGTTTAACGGAGTTGTATATAGTTTAAGAGTAGATTTAGCTTTAGAATTTATCGATTATTCTAAAATATTTTAAATTTGTTTTATGTTAGAATTCTTTTATTTCCTACTGTAGTTACTTATTATCCTATGTAATAAATGATTGTTTTTTTTTAAATTTATAATTGTATAAATCATACCAATTAAGTTATTTTTTCTGAGTAAAATGTTTAAAATTACTTATATGAATTTATGGCATTTATGTGTTCATATACAAAGAATGGACAATTCAAAGCAATTATTGAAAATTATATTATTATCTACATTTGTTTATTGTATTAGAATATTTAATTACTAAATTTTTGGAATTATCAAAGAGAACTAAATGATGTGGTTACAAATTGATAGATTGATAATACTATGAAGAATGATTGAAAAGTGATTTACATATTTATAAGTTATGAATTAAGGATGAAAAATTTGAACTTAATACTATAGGGTATTAAAGAAACAACATGGAAATTGTAATAGAAAGAATTTTCATTGTTATAGTGTGTATTTGTAATGTCACAGCAGAGATTATAGTAGAATAGAATACATTCTTTTTCTATATTTTCCAAAATTGCTGAAATTAAACATTAAAATTTGAGCTTGATTATAGTGTTTAAAGTTTTAACTAATTTTTTTCCAATTTTAAAATAATACACAAGGTATTAATAATGGCCTTGATAATAGTCTTCTAATTTATGCTTTTAATGCAAATTAAATTAAAAATAATTTATTGATCGAAATCTGCACATACAAATTATACTTTTATCATAAAGGGATTAATTATTTTTCAGATTTTATATATTGCACAAAGATATATTTTACGTTTGTATATTTACGTTTGTATAATTTGTTTAAAAATTACTGTGATACTTTGTATTACATATTTGTAAAAAGCAATTTCTACTTGCATAATAAATTTTCTCTTTACAATAATTCACCATGGCCAAGCATTTCTGTGTATATGAAAATATTTTTCTTAATTTAAGGTATATTTTAATTTTTTAATTCAGCCTAAATTGGAACACTTACAAAATGAATTGCTGTATTTTATTACTATAGTAACAAGATTAAGAGTACATTTGCAAACTTACAATTACAAAATTGTTGCTTTATCGTTTAATTTCCGAGCAATCATTTATTAAACTGAAAAAAATTTTCGTACCTAAAATGCGTATCACTAGAAAATTCATTCAATTCAAAACTTAATTTGCTTTAATGCTATTCATGTAGACACATTATATAAACAAACTTACATAATTATAGGTACAAATTCCTATTCTTAAACATAAAAATTATATTGATTTTGCAAAAAAATGAAATTTACATTGATTCTATGCAAAAACACTTTTGGAAAAATAATCGATAAAAAATATCCTTGCGTAATATCCTTTCCCTTTGTATTCTACATATCCTTATTTTTCTTTTGTTTTTAATTTTTTATTAAATGCTTATTCAGCAATTTTAATAATGTGTACAACTTCCCAAATTCTGTTTCATTTCGTTTTTATCTTTCATATCCTTTAATTTTATACATGTCTTATTCTTTCTTTTTTTTCTCTTTTTTCAACAGGATATTGTTCTGAAGGTGCTGACCGTGATCGCTCATGTAGTACTGATTCATCATATATGCGTTTACGTTATAATCGTAGAATTGCATATCAGCAAATGGGACATCATGATGATTTATCATGGATACCAGAACAAGCTGGTTCAACCTTAACTGGTCATAATGGTCGTGGTGACACTAACGGTATCGGTATTGGAATTACCAGTATTAATACTCTAAGTAGCGGAGGAGGTGTCGGTAATATAGAAAAAATAGCATTAACAAATGTGAACAATAAACAAGCGATATCATTATCATCACCATCGTCAACGATAATAACAGCAGCTTCATCAGCTGCAGCTGCTGCAGCAGTTGCTGTTGGAGGTATAATACAACAAAATCAACAACAGCAACAACAACAGCAACAACAACAGCAGCAACAAGCTCAACAACAACAGCAGCAAGTTCAACAACAGCAACAACAAATTAATCAACATACACAATCTTCATCTGTATCGACAACACCTAGTCCAAAAGATATTCAGGTGAAGACTATTGATAGTTATTTAAGTGTTCCATCAACAACAATAGCTGCATCAGGAAGTTCCGACACATTAACAGGTAAATTTAGTGTAAAAGGAGTACAGAACATTGTGAAAGATAATGGGAATTGTTTGTAATGTAATATACCGTATAAATACTAAATCATTGTTTATTTTGTACATATATATTTGTATGTGCATAATAAAATGTAAAATAGACTGAAATGGAAGTAAAAATAGGATATAGAGAGCAATTATTTGATTGCATACAAACTAAAATTTATTTCATAGGAAATGTTGTTAAAATGGAGTTGGAAAATGTTATTTCATATATATGTATATATTTGTATTGAACAGATGGAGAATTTTTCATCAATTTCATTTTCGGATGACTGCTCACAAATTACCTTCAATTTGAAAATTTAAATTTTATAAAAATTGTTCCTCAATTTTAGTAGATTTATACATACATATACATAGTTCCTGTATGAAATAAAGGAAATCATTAAATAGTAAACATTGCAATGCAGTAATAGCTAGTCTTTATGTACATATATACGTAAATGAGCGATCATAGTTCGTTATTTACAATGAGAATCAAAAATTTTAAAATTCACATTAAATAAATTTTGTATTTTTTATGAATTGGATGTTTGATTCAATACCAAAAATTAATTCAAATTTGTATTATCGTATAAATGTAAGAATTTCTTTTGAATACTTTTATTATAAATATAAGATGTCATTTTTAAAACTTTGTACCACTGCTGCAAGTTTTTTAAAAACAGCTTTTTTGAATTTTGCAAGACGATGGAATTATAATTTTAACGTAATATGTGCATAATGTACATACATATATGAATAATATTGAAGGAACTCTTTCTCTATCCTTTTGCCAATAAAATCAAACAGACGGAGTTAACATTTTAGAAAATGTTTCATATTTTATCGAAATTCCGAATTTATTATATCCGCAGAATATAATTTTATTTTAATAAATTAACGCAAAAGCAAAAAATTTATTAATTTAAGGATAAAAGGCGTAAAATATTTACATTTTAAAAATATTTTATTGTCTTTTGTTTTTTCTTTTTTTTTTTTGTTAAAATTTCGTATTTTAATTTCACATTTCAAAATTTTTTCCTTTTCTGAATATAGAAAACACATTAAGTGGCCCATCATCACCATCAAATTTAAGTTCTGTAACATTAGTTGGTTCAACTGGTTCCGGTTATATTGATCGTAGTGATGATACTACACCAACTGATGAAAAACATTTTAAATATTCAAGAGCACCAACAAGTCCATTACCAGAACGTGTTAATAAAAGTAAAGTACAACAACAACAACCGCAACTAAATCAGCAACAGCCACAGCAACAACAGCAGCAACAACAACATCAAATACAATTACATCAACAGAATGAACAACAATTGCAACAAATACAACAACCAAAACATCGTAAATCAATTGAAAGTGATATTGTTATTTCAGTAGTATCGACTACTGGAGGACATAAGTGCGTTTCAATTTTGCTTTTGGTGTTTGTTGTTTAATTTTTTCTTTTCTCTATCATTTTAGTTTTCTTTGTGTTTTTTTTAACAACACAAAATAAAATTTTAATGCGAAAATATTTCAATGAAATGAGAGTTTATTTGAAAATTTCAATAATAAAGTGTTATATTGGTATTGAAATTTTATAGATTAAGGGTTTTTGTAAAATAGAAATAACTTAAAAAAAAGTAGTGTTAAAATTTGAAAGTCGAATAATGGAATTCTCAAATTAATTTAAATTGTTGAAATTGGAACGTAAGGATACGTAAGGATTAAAAAGTAATAATACTTGTTTTTGTTTTGTTTAAAAATCGTGTGTTCGTGATAGAACTACTCCTAAATTAAATTTTGTTTCTGTTAAATCAATTGGTACTGTTTTGAACAATAACAAGGAATCGAATTTCAACATTAATTAAATTTGTATTTTTTTCTGCTTGAAAATGAAAAAGTTATTTCTACTACAAACAGTTTTACAAATTATTGTGACTACTTTAATTGAATTTTTGCAGTAAACTTAAAGAGAATATTATCTTTCGTCAGATCAAAGTTAATAAAAACTTTCGCTTATGTGCTCACCAGCTTAACTCGAATGCTGTATTTGTCATTGGCAGATAAAGAATAAAAACTTAATTGTCACTCATACGTTTTCTCAGTCATACCCATTTCTATAGAAATTGTGAATATGTATTCGAAAATTTTTTTTCAACATTGCAGTTTGAAAATTTAATTTTTATTTTCCGCAGAGATTTTTCTTTGAAATTAAAGTGCCAAATTCTAACCTACTAACAAAATAAACATAATAAAATTAATAAAGCTAATTAAAAATGAATAAAGAATGTAATGTAGCAACTTATTAAAAATTTTAATAGATCTTGCTAATTTTTATTTCTTCTGTAGCCATTCTGAGATATAACGTATCGTTAACAGCATTTCACGCAGGACCTGATTTTCAAATTTTTATTAGTTTATATTTAGGTTCTCACATTCTGTTCCCGCAGTTGAAAATAGAAAACCTAGATTAATTTATATAATTAGTTATAAATCAGAAGTTTGTTTTATTATTCACAACAAATACTTTCTTAGGTTTGATTTTTTTTCGTGTTTTAGAGTTTGTTTTTAGTTTTTCTTTTTTTGAAATTTAGTTATAATGAATCATCTAGTTTTTTAATATATTTTAAATATAAATGTGTAAATTAAAATATTGAAACTTGTAGTCAAATTTCCAACTCAGTATATTTTTGTTTTGAAAAAATTTCTTTCAATTTGAAAAATTATTTTTTCAATTTGACATTATTCTTTTTTGTATAAAGTTTACACAATAATCTAAGTGAAACTTGGTTTTTTTTTTCAGAGCACCTCAATTACAAAGCCTGAAACTATTTCATTTTACTATTGATATACAAAATAACTTTTTTTAGAAATAAGGAATAGAAAATCTTGTTTATTTATTGTCCTCATAAAAGCAAATCCTTGTGGAAATATTTTAATGATTATTTTATGACCTTGAATTTTTCTATTTACATCAAAATAGAAATAAGAAAAACCAGAAAAAATAGAAAAATCAATAATTTTCTATTTAAATAAAAATCTCATTTTTAAAGAGATGAAAATTAAATTTTTAAAAAATTTGCTTTCTTTTTAGTTTTTCAATTTATTCCAGTTTTGATTTTTATTTAAATTTCTAATTAAGTGCTTTGCTATACACAAAAAAAATATTTTAAATGGATTTTTAGAACTTTTAAAACTTATGAACTTTTACAATTCTTTTTTTTTGTACAAAGATGAAAAACTTATTTATTAGAAAATAATTTACTTTTAATATAATTGAAGTTTAAGGAAAGAGAAATTTGTTTTCTTAATGTTTTTTGTGTGTTTATAAGAAAAATATTTTTAAATTTAAATGAAATTTAATTTTTCAGTCATTTATGAAAAGTGATAAAAATGTCGAAATCAGGTTTCATACTTAAAGTTGTTTTTCTTTTTTAAATTAAGAATTTTGATTTTTTTTAAATTGTAGAAGATATTAAAAATAATTTTATTTTATACAATTTATTGAAGTGGAATCTAAAGAATTAAAATGAAGTTGCAAAATGTTAAAAGTCGGAGAGTCCATTAAAATGTTTTTTTTATTTTAAGCAAAAAAATTAAATTTAATTATTGAAAATTGTTATGTAAATTAATTTCTAAGAAATTTACTCAAAACCAAAATCTTAGTTATAATTGCTTGTGTCAAAAAATCGTTTAATATCAATGTATTATTTATGTATGGAATTTTTATATCAAGGATATGTAGAAAAAGTGTTATATAAATCAACACTGGTCCAACGATTAGAATTTTTCATAATTTCTTCATATGTCAGGAAGTGAAGCATATGTCTACAAAATAAAAAGTAAAACTTCGAGTTTAGTTTGTGAAAATATTCAGCTTTTTGTTTTAGACATAGTTATTTCCCTGCGCCATTGATCTGTGTTGTAAATAAAGGACAAAATTTATGAAAATAAATAAAAAAAATTCCTTCCTTATAATTCCTTAAAAAGAAATGAATCAAGGCAGAAAAATTAAAAAACAATTTTCTTCTCGAACTGGACTTAATTCAGTGACCTACCGCTTTAGTTACAAAAAATGTTTAATTAATTTTATACGAACAATTTTGCTATATTAATTTTTATATTGATAATCGGGGTTTTTGTATTTACAGACACACACGTATTTTTAAAATTTACTTTCTTTGTCTTCAATTATTTTAACAAGTTTCCCTACAATAAAATATTTGCGTGAACATTGTCAATATCAATAATTGAATTTTTTTTCTTATTATTTTAGCGTTGATTCATCAACAATTGTTAGTGAAAGACGTAGTAGTAGTGTATCATATACATCTCCATCAACATATCATTCACAACAACAGCAACAGCAAAATCAACAAATTAGTTCAAATAAGCAACAGCAGCATCAACATTATTTACAACAACCGCAACATCAACAAAAACAGCATCGTCAGTCATTACCAATGGTAACAACAACATTATGTTGTGAAAATCAAAATTCTAATGAAATAAAAACACCATCACCGTTATCACCAAAAAATACAATAATTAATTTACAATCATCGATGGCGCAACAATTACAACAATTAAATATAAATAAAGATAATAATCAACAATATATTAATAATAATGTAAATGTTAGTACTACTAGTAATATTGGTCAGTTTGGTACAAGTGGCGGGGTTGGCGGTAGCGGTGGTGGAATTGGTGGTGGAAGTAATGTATTAGTTAGTGGTACAGGTGGTAGCGGTGGTGGTAGTAATAGTTGTAGTATAACACAAAAAGACAAAAATACATCATTGTCACAACAATATTTAAATCAAGAAACAACTGTTACCTCACCATTGCATAAATTACCGCAAATGTCAATATCACCACCAAAAATGAATTTGTTGACAGATCGTAGACCAAGTGCTGGAGCAAATGTAATACCACATGCAGCATTATGTCAACATCGTCGAAGTTTGCAAATGAATGGTGATGGTGGGGTATACAGGGTGAGTTAAAAAATAATAATTTTGAATTTTTTTTCTTTCTTTTTCTTTTTTTTTTTTTTGTATAAAGTTATTATTGGATTGAATTGCTGAATTTTACAATGAATAATTTTTTTTTTGTGAATCTATTTTTGTCATCTGGTTCATTGATAATTTAGTAATAATGTGAATGAATTTTGTAACTTAAATAATTTATGTTCATAATATTTTGTTATTTGCATGTATTTTTATGGTTTTCTAATTTGATTTTAAATGTTGTAAAGGAGACTTCAGAATTTTTTATATTGTAAAGTTTTTTTTATTAGAATACAGGACAGGAATGTACATAATATTATGTAGGCATTTATAAACATACGATAATAAGTTCCGTTTGCGTCAAAAGTTTTAATTACATAATTTGCGCAATCGTACCATTAACGTGTAAAACATTAATAATTGCACAATTTAAAGTAACTTACACATATCAATATATTTAAATTAGAGCTATTTTATTGCGTATTCACATATATGTTGCTTTAAGGTTTTTTTTCTAAGTTATATCATGTGAGTAATGCGTTCGTTTAAAATTATTGTACTATACATTATTGTGAAGAAGCGAAATATAGTGATATTGGAAAAAAATAGTTAGTACAAAAATTATAAAACTACGAGAACAAGTTGAACTTGTGTTAGCAATTAAATGGTCAACGAATTGTAAGGAGACTTTAAAATGCGGTTCGTTACCATCATAGGATTATTTTTAAAAATTAATTTAATTTAGACTTCTTTTAAAAGTAACTTAATTTTCCTAGTATTAATTGCGGTTTTCACAATGTAAATCTCTTAATGCTGTTTACTAAGTTTGAAACTACATTATGCTTTCTCTTGACTACCGTATTGAAAGTTATATTTAGTAAAAATTATACTTAAATTTTATTTATAAAAATCGACTATCATAACTCGCCACATCGAATGGCTCGAAAATTACTTTAGAAAAGTAATAGTTTTATTTAACAAAAATTTAAAGAAAACGAAACGTTTATAATGCCAGACGAAATTTTCGAGAATAATATAATATTTGCAACTTCATGAAATAAATAAAAGCATCAAATTGATTTAAAGTCTTGTTTCGTTAAACAGGAAAATATTAGCTTTAATTTTTTAGAAAATCAAAAAATAAGTCTCTAAATTTAAAACGGAACACTTGTTGTTGGACATTCAAAACGAATAATCTTTTGTAATATATCAATTTAACTATAATTTCATACGATGATTATATTTTATTACATGTGCATAAATAAAAATAACCTTAGAGAACAAAAAAAAATAAATGTTGAAAAAAATGTATACGTATACAAAAGTACCGTTATGAAAGCGAATATAGATACTAAGGATTGTAATAATGCAATCTTATGTATTATACGTATTATAGATATTGTGAATGTAGCTGTCCAACAAAATATAATGAAAATAAAATAAAAAAATTATGAATGGACTCTAGAGCACATTCGCACAAGAATAAGGAATGAAGTAATTCAAAGAGACTACAAAACGAATGAATAAAAACAAGAAGAGAAGATACAGAAAAAAAAAGCAAAATTATAAAAAAAATAAAATAACTGAAAAAAACAAACATTGTAAGAAGTTGCAAGAAAAATGTTTTACTTTCAGGGAATACGATGATGCACTTTTATGGATTCTTTTTTCCTTCTGCTTATTTTTTTCCATTATTTTTGATTTATAACTGTTAAGGATAACATTATTATAAAGCTAAGAGAGTAATAAAAAATTTAAGAAAGAAATGAACTGAAAAAGTAAATGAAATAAAAAATAGAATGAGTTTTGAATAGCGCATTGCTATAACAATATGGCCAACGTTGTTGAATATTAAAAGCTGCGAATGTAAGAAAAAAAAATACAATTAGTAGATGAAGGGAATAATAAAAAAAAGGAAGATATATAGAAAGAATATAAAAGACAAAAAAAAAAGAAAGCTAGATCTTTATTCTATATTTATAAAAGGGTAATTTCCCGGTCAGTAAATGTTTAACGCGACTATTAGAAGGAACGAAGGCTTGATTTAGTATAGCTTACTTTAGTATTGGCACATTTCTAGATTTCCTTAATTTGTCTAACTAATTTTTTTCGATTGGCTTCCGTTTATAAGAACGTGTGGCAAATTTACTCAGCTCCAGTTCAAGTAGCAATTGGTTGTTCTTTTACGTTTTGCTTAAAAAAATATTCTGCTGGTTCGCGTTGTGTTTTCACCCAAATCTGCAATCTACAGTCATGAGAACAAATATAATTTTTACATGAATGATCGGGAAATTTTTAATATTAGAAACAAACTTATTTTTAAGCATTCAACAAATATAAAATTACGCGATTCTTTTTTTCCTTTTCATTTAAATAAAAAAAAAACTTTCCAATTCAAGATGGTAACAAATAAAAAAGTAAAAATGCAAATAAAAAGTGAAGAAAAATTATTTTTACATTTATTATCTTTGTTTGATAATTTTATTCTTTTAGTTATATCCCAAGGCGCTAAAGAGATGAAAAAGAAAAATGGAGAAAAAAATGATAAAGGAAAAAAAGTAGAGACAATTTTAAATAAAAGAAAAATATTGTTTGTAAAAAGAGAGCAAATGAAGAACAAAAAAAAAAATTGGCCGGAATTTCATTTTCAATAAATCAATTGATTTGAATTTTATTTTTACAGATATTAGAATGAATAAATTTCCGGTACATTCCAATTATAAATTAAATATGAATATAATATGTAGGTATAATATAAAATACACAATCGCAATATTAAAGAAAAAAAGGAGTAAAATAAGGAAAATAAAGGGAACAAATAGAAAATGGTATTTCCACGTTCTCTTTTTTTTTTTTTCGCTTGTTCACTTTGTGCTTATATGGAAGGAAATGATTTTATAACAAGTTCATAAATATTTATTCTATTATTAAATTCTATTGTATAGAAAAAGCAGGAGCGACTAAAAGGATATTGTTTGTAGGAAATGTGATGTGAAATCGTTTTTAATTTCTCAATGTAATCAAAATTAAAATAAGAATATTCCATTTTAAATTGTTGGCAAAAAATTGAAAAATATTTTTAAATGAATGCCAGATGAGAGAGAAATACTACTTATTTTAATTTGGTTCTAAGATTTCTTAATTGTTGAATTATTTATTTAAAATAGAACTTTTTCGTTTTTTTAATTAGATCCTGAGTTCATATTGTCATTGAATATTAATTAGCAATTACAGAAAAAACTCATGAATAATGAAAATTTCGGAATGATAGGAAAAAATATGTGCCAGAAAATTGATGACTGAAATTAAATGAAACTCATCCAGAAAAAGGTTTGAATGCTGTTTCATCTAGTCGATAAAGCAGTAGTAGTGGAAACTATTTTTTAAACGATTTCGGGTCACTATTTCTATCATTTAATGTTAATTATTGAAAGATTGTGATGCTGTAAATGGTAACAGGCATTACTAGATAGCTAGAAATATAGACATTATTAAAACTTTTCCCAAATAGATTAAAAATTAGGTTGAAAAAAAAAATAAAGAAAATATTGTGTCAACATTTACAAACATACCTTAAAGACTGTACGAGTTAATAATTTTAAGAGTTTATAAATTATGTCTACTGGTCGCAAACTTGATTATTTCCGATAAATATTAACAAAACGCAAAAGGTACTTAACAATCAATGCCTATAGAAACTGAATTTTCATAATTTTAATTTTTCTCTTATGCATGATTTAAATTAAAATAAGTAATACTTAAGCTATGTTATTTAACTTTTATAAAATACCAACTTTGTTTTATCTTGTATAAAAATCTAAATTGAAGTGAAATTTATACATTTATTAATATTTTTTAACATACTTACAATTAAAACTCACTTTGATTATTAAAATATTGATGTTTAACACAACATTGTTTTTATAATAATTTTTCTATTACCTTCTACTGTTATGGTAGTAAACCTTTTTTTTTTTAAAAAATGCGATTATTTTCAGAAATCACTTTTGGATAAATGCAATACCGATTTTCTTTTATTTGGTTTTTAATAATAAAAAGTTAAAAAATTTTTTTTTCGTATTTCCTTTAAAGAGGGTGCATATATAAAGTTATTTGTAGAAAGAAAAAAAAAGTGAAAATTATTTTTTCTTCCTTCTTAATTAAAATTATAGAAATTTACTTCTTATATCTAGAACACTGATTCTTATTAAAATATATTTGAAATACAGTTGAACTTTTTTAATTTGAACCATCTACAGATTACAAGGTAGAGAGGTTTTTATTTTTAAATTATTATTAAAATTATAATTGGTATTTATATGGACAAACGTGTATATCGAGCTCACAGTGCGTATTATGTAAAAAAACAAAAATATGTAAACTGCAGGAAACGAGCTTAAAAGTTTACCACTATATTACAGTCGACATGATTGTAAATCAAAACTTATTATACATTACACATTGACACCTAGGTAATTTAAAAATGGACTGGGCTCGGTTTTGTACGTATATATATACAATTTTATGGTGTATAAATAAATTTTTTGAGAGCAATACTGAATATTTTTTGGGAGTTTTTTTTTGTTAAAAAATAATATAATATCCTTGTTATCTATTATTATCATTTTATACAAACTATGCTCCGGCAGTAGTTTATAGTGCTACAAGCTCTTAAAAGAAACGGTTCTTTAATATGGTGATGGCATTTTGAGTCAAATACGTTGCAATAATTGAAGTATGTGACATTGATATTTTGTTGAATGTCACATGATTGATCACAAAATATATTTATTATAAAAATTTTATACAATTACCAACAAAATTTGAAATTCGTTTCAGTAAATGCTGCCTTTGTCATAATAAATATTGTAGGATATTTTCAGAAGTCATTAATAATTTCTGCTTAATAAAATTAATTGAATTCATGAACATAATGACTGATACTGCCTGTATTGTGTTTCTATATTTAATGTGATCGAAAAATTTTATAAATTTATTTGAATTAGAGAAGTTCGACTGTGCGCACTCAAGCATAAAAATGAATGTCCTTTTTTTATATCCAATGTTATTTTTCCTTTCTTTGATTTTTCTATTTTTTCTTTTTAATCTTAATTTAATAATCCTTATACATTTTCTTTTATTTCTTTAATTCTTGTTATATTTGTTTTTTCTTATTTTCTCCCGCAGGATAACTTGTACTCCATTAACCTGGTTTTTTAACTACTATATATTTAATACTATGTTATATATATTAACTTATAGATGTATAAATGTATTACATATATATATATATATATATATACATAATAATCAAACACTGCTATTACACTACTACATGTACATAAAATACAGATATATAACAAAAAATGAATATATTAAATACATAATATGTATCTACCGTATATATGTATGTGTATAAATGTAGATTTAAGAAAAAAACATTACCGTTAACTGATATCGTCTTCAAAATTAAATTTCATCTACTATATGAATTTTCCAATTGTTTTTTTTTTGGTTTTAGTTTAACAATAAAAATATAAAATTAAAAAAAAAATAATGAAGAAAGAAAAAATGAAAAACAAGGAAGAATTTTTTCCACTTTTTCTTTTTTTTTATTCTTCATTCTTATAAAACATTATCCTTTATTATAATCATATAACTAACATTTACAGTAGGTTGTTGTAGTTGTTGTCGTTGTTATCCTTTCTTATTTTTTGTTATACTTTGTTTGTTTCTTTTTTTTTTTTGTTAATAATTTGTTACTTTTGTTTACTTTGTGTTATTCTAAATATTATTCGGTAAACATTGAAAACCTTTTGATATAAGGGTGAAATTCGAAAAAGTGAAGTTGAAATCACAGATTTTTTAGCGAAATTGACATTAGAATGACACTGATATAAGCAAATAGAAATTACTTCTACTGTGTCGGTTTATTTTTCAAAATTTTGTCTGCACAAATTGATTTTGAATCTGTAACTCCGATGAAGGTTTATTTTTGCAATCTAAAACGTGACATAGTAAGTTTATGTATTTTATCTAAATGAGCTCATTAAGACTAAATAAATAATTATACTTTTTGAATAATATATTCATTTATAAAATAAATTCATAAATTTTCCAAATCTCTCAAAATGAAGAAAATTTTCCTTTTGATTCGAAAAGGCCACTGTATTTCTTTCTTCCGCTTTATCGAATTTGATTTTCTTCTGATCAAATTCCATGAGTAAATATTAAGGATCACTTTGTTAGCCAGAACTTAACCAGAAAACACGTTTAAAGTTTTAAATATCTTTTCTCAAAATATTTCTCTTAGAGATTTTTATTAGGTCGCCTCGTCGAATTCCGGATGACAATTCAAATAAGCCCTTATGTTGAATGTTTTAAATGTCATTAAGCCAAAAAAAAAAAAAAAGTGAGATAATTCGATGTTCCTACATTTCTTTTATTTTATATTTTCTTTTTTTTTCACAAATTCTTGTTTCTTTTTTTTTACCTCTTGTTTTCATTTTTCCTTTTTTTTTTAATTATATATTCTCTTTTCCATTCATTCCTTCATTCATTCATTTGTTTTTTGTTGTTTTTTTTATTTATTTCATTTTTATCTTTTATTTTCTTTTCTTTTTTTCTCTCGTTTTCATTGCAGAATGCTCCAAATATTGAAAAAGGTGGTAGCCCACGTGTATCTCATCGTGTCATTAAAACGCCTGAAAAACAGAAGAAGAATTCATTTTGTTCACCACAGAGAGAGCCCCCAAGGTAAAGAAAATATGAAATAAATAAATATAAAACATAAGAAAGAAATTACAAGGAAAAAAATAAAAAAAAATAGTAAAATAACAAAAAAAAAACGGGAAAAATTCCCTTAAAAATAAAAATGTATAGCAAACCCAGGGAATTGTAGGAGCTGAAATTCTTAGTTTTTCATAATAATTATATTTTTATAAGGACATAACCGTTATGCAGGATATTCTATTTCAATTCAGTACAAATTTTGTGTTGAAAATTTTCTTTATTTTTATTATTTTTTTTTGTTTTCTCTATAATTTAAAACTGAAATTCCCATGCGTTACTTCTATTCTTTTAATTTTATTTAAACTTACAACTAAAATTTCAAAATTAATTACTATGTAGGTTAATAGCAACAGTTTCACTTATTAAACTTACAATTAATGCCGTTCTCGTTTTTAGTTTATAATTTTATACTCGTATGTTGGGTTATTGAATCTTGTAGAATCATAGTTGTTATGGAAAAGGAAATTTTTTTACAAACATTTAATAATAGATTTATTTTACAAAAAAAAAAATCAATTAGGTCTAATTGATTTTTAATTCTATGAATTTTTTTAAGATCAAATAATTTCGATTGGGACTTACCGTAAAAAAATATCGATATGATAAAACGAAAGAGTATTTTTTCGTAAATATCGTATCGTAAATAGGTTAGCTTAGGTTAACGCGGCCCAGAAAAGAAGAGGCCCGTTGTGGCACTGCCGGATCTCTCCTTTTCCGCCCTCATTCGAACCAGCCAGAAAACTAAATAACGATACGTTTAATTAGAAGTTGATCAAATTATTGAATGAAATCTACATTGCGATATTTTCGTTCAAACTTTAAAAAGTTCCGTCACAAAATGCATTTTTAAAAAAATATTCGCCGACAAGGTATTCACTAATTCTCTCTTATTAGAATTTTTTGCGCTGTGATATCCTATGAAAAGGTTCTCTACGAATGTTCTTCAAAATTTCAAAATGTTTATAAAAATACACTTCGATTTTGGATTTAATAAGGAAATAAACTTTATAAATTTGAAATGGGACTCACTTATTAATCATTTTTAATGGACTAATTAAAGTTAATAAACTTGTACTTGTTAGTTAAATTTAGAAAAGATATAAATGCGGGTCATAATAATTCTTTTATTTTCAACTTTTTTCTGTAAAAATAAAACATTTTACTGTTAACTCTTTTGGGACAGATCGAATTGATCGAGCTTACAAACCAGATTAGTCGAAAAACTTCACGTTCAATCTTACAAATGCGACACAATTTTCGCCACACATTCTAAATTCTCAATCACTGGTAGTTTCTAAAGTTCATTTATTCTAAATTTAGAATGTAGACAAAAACTCTTTTGTTTTTAGTCAAATTTAATGTTAAAATAATGTAAATCAATCTTAGCTAAGAATTAGACCTTAATTTAATCAAAGTATTAAATATTTTTAATGTTCTCTAAATGTTCAAATTAATAAGGAAAAATGTTCTTTAAATAGTTAATAATCCAAGAAAATTTTCATATTCTAAAAAAAACTTATAACTAAATAATTTTTTATATTTTTAATCCCGTTCTCTTATCGCCCAAAGAGATTTTTGGTTTAGTGAACCTTTGAAAAATTTACTCGTGTAATTTATAAGTTGGGTACGCTTTTTACATATTTAACATATTAAAATGTTATAGAAAATTTCATCGTGCTGACTTAATAAAATTTTTAAAAAAATATACCTGCTTATTTTATTTTAACACATTGCTATCAGCAATTCTTTTGAATGACAGCTTTTACAAGAGCACTGAAAAATGTACTTGTCCTTTATGATAGATTGCCTTTGACACAATGTGAACATATGAAAAGGATATTTATTTTATTTATATGTAGGTTTACATACTCACCTATACATATTAAAATTTTATAATTTAACAAAATTATCCATTTGGTTAAGACACAAAATGCAATTTCAGAATAAAAATAAAATTTTAAATATCCTTTGTGGTGGTGCTCTGCTGAAAACTCTCAACATGAAATATAAAAAAAAAAAATTTAATTTATTTAATTTTATGTGCTTTTTAATTTTTTTTTATATTTATGCATTCCTTGCGCTTACTTATGTTGCATCAATCATAAAAAATAAGATGAATATAAAAATGTTCTACTTTTCATTTTATAGTTGATGCATTTGTGAGCGAACCAAAAACTATACTAATATTTTTTAGGTTCCATTGTGTTCTTATTGTTATAAATTTTTTTTGTGCTTTATTTTGTTCTTCTAGCATTAAAATTCAATTTATTTCCGGTGACGAAAAACACCCCATTAATAAAGTTCGAGGCTATTTGAATTTAATGTGTTATTTTTATTGTTATTTTTTCTTATATCTTTTTCTTTTTGTTCTTTTTGAATGATTATTACATTTTGATATCAGTAGCAGCATGATGATGGACTGTATTTTTTGTTTTTGCTTCTTTTTATGAGTGGAAAAATGCTTCAAGCCTTTGTTACATTTCTGCTTTTGTTATAATGTTTGTGTATTCTTGTATACTACGGACTATAACAAAAAAGATATTGTAATATAATAGTTTTGATGAAAGTGTTAGTGAATTCGATTTATATACAAAAAGTAGGAAATTGTTTAATAAATAGTCAGGCTGATTTTATCACATATAGTTCTTTTTTATCGGTGATTTTTCACTGCTATATAGGAGTAGGGACTTAACTAATAAACGTAATTTCTGTATCTCTCGTCAAGTGTTGCCCGGTAGTATTTCTGGTCTGCCCATAATCTTTCATAGCCATTTCAGTAAGCTTGGGCCGCTTTTCTACACCTCTTTCAGCATCTTCATCTGTAGTAACTGTTCTACCAAGATATCAGAATTCAGAGACATCCCCTATGTTGTTGTTATTTATTTTTAAGGGAGTAACATTAATTAAATTTATTTTTAAGCATTTTTTCTTGTTCGCATGTATTCGAACTGGAGATTTTTGAAACAGGCTCTTTATTTTTTCTTGCATAATATGTGTGTGCCAGGAGCGCTATTTTGTCAGATCGTATTCCAAATCTACCGATTTTTTTGTTAGGATCCATTTTATTCCTACTACTAGACTTGTTACTTTCTTTACAGCCTCATCAAGAACCACATTGAATAGGAGTAGAGAGAGAGGACAGCATCGTTTGACTGCTGTTTACAGCTGAATTGGATCCCTCATTTACTCTTAATGAAGGACTTTCAGCTCTGTATTCTTATATACACATAATACCTTGTTTATGTTGATTATTTTTAGAGAACTTCTCTTATTCTTTAAAGAGCGGTATTGTGCATCTCGAACTAACGCTGAGATTCGTTCAGAATGCCCTCCTCTCTATAGTAAATTTAGCAATACCTGTGATTCACTATGTAAGCGCATACCTACGCACGTACTTTTAAATGAAAAAAAAGGTTATGAATACATTCATAACGACGACGAGTATATGATAAATGTGCCGCTATGTATATTGAAAATAATGAAATTGAATGAATGAGAAAAAAGAGAAGAGCAAAATATTAAATAAAAAGGTGACACCATTTGTGTGATAAAATTTCACATCACTCCCTTTCATGATTTATCATTACCATGTCATAATGAAAATGATTGTTGCCTGCTGTTTTAAAATTGAAAGAAGAAAATCTTTTACTATTTTTCCTTTTTTTGGATGTGTGTTAACCACTTTTTTTTTATTTTATTATATTCGTTTTTACAGAATAAAACAAGAAAATCAACCCAAAAGAGTCGTTTTGGAGACAAGAGAAATTCTGTTTTTTTTTTTTTTTTGAAAAGCAACTCATAAAATACACATAAAAAGTATGAATGAATCAATTTTCAACAAGTTGATTGCAAACAAAATTAAGAAAGAAAAATTCATTTATAACATTTTTGGGCTACTTTTCACTTTATAAATGTCACTGTTGAGTCTAAAAGCTTGTGAAAACGTGAATGGCAATGAGTGTAAGAAATAAAAGAAAAACGAAAATTGAATGCAATTTTATTGAAAAATTATTATGACGAATCTGTCATTTTATTTGCAATGCATATCAAGTAAATAAAATTTATTAATTTTAATTCAGAAAAATTTTATAAAAGAGTTATGGGATCGCTAGGGATCGAATAATAATCAATAAATTAGTTTATGTATTCATTTGGTAGGGATTTAGTTGTAAAGTTGATCAATTGACCTGCTCGATTTCAATTATATCGCTTTTTTTTCTTTTAGCTTACTTACGAGTATTCTTAAAATTAATTTTGTGACTTGAGTAATTTTTACATTTTTAAATCTTTCTTCTTAAAAAGATTTGAACTTTCATCCCAAAAATATTTTTTTTTTCTCCTTTTCTCATTCACGGTGGGAACATAAACCTTCAAAAAATCCTCTGAATTACATTCTGTTTTGGTCTAGATCGTTTATTTCTAACCCGCATTTTTCATTTGATTGGGCCTCCTTGTATGTTTTGTTGCAACATGTTAAGGTGTCTACCCACCTTCTTTTGTGGGGGTTAATCTAATACCTGCTGGGTTATCATATTATTCGGCCTGTATAATGTGAGTTTCAATCATCTTCACTTTCTTTCTTTTATAGTCACGTTTATGGACGTGTGGTTCGTAGTTGTCCATAGTTCATTGTTTGTTATTGTTGTTGCCCAGAATATTCCACATATCGTTCCGTCGATTAACATATCGTGATTTTCAAATATTTTCGGCCAATCTTTCTCTGTTCTTATTACGAACAGCCACTCCATGTACACCTGTTGTAGTTGTAGCCTATTACAATGCATATTTCATTTCTGGATATTCTGCACAATGTTATAAACTGTTTGGGAGACGAGTGCATGGTGTCTTCGATTCTCTGTGGAGATATAGCTGTATTAGATATGGCTTTTCACGCTCATAACGTGCTTGCTCTTCGTCCTAAGTTCGTGTCGTTTCGCTCAATCAATTAAACTTATAAGTATATTCTTTTTGTTAACATGTCAGTAAAATTTTGCGTTTCAATTTCTATTGTAAAAGACTATAGATAAGTTAACCTCTTTATATAATACATTGGGATTTTTCTATATGGGAACTGTTTTCATTTAACTACGAATGGAAAACTCATTAAATATCAATTAGTTAACGAAAGAAAATTGGAAAAAAAATATAGATAAACTTAAATATTGTGGAAATCGTATTGAACTGGCATACATTGATATTGAAAATTGTTTTAATGTTTTTTTTCTTAGTATTGAAAATTATTTAAGGTACAACATGTTGTGATGACCTATAAAAATTTTTTTTAAATTATTTTTGAATTCAATTCAAATATTTTTTTTTCCCTGAAAATTTTAAAATTTTTTCATTATTTTTACATTTTATGTAAATAATTTAAATATAAAATGGCGATTGGTAATTAAATTTTTGAGTATTTTTTTGGAGTTTTTTTACATGTGTGTTATAAAAGAGTGTGTTTAGTTATTTAGCTATTATTGGAAAAAAGAATGTTAGAAAATGCGCTTTTTCGATTCGGTTTCTAATTTTTTATCCCACTTTTGTTCGATGTCTTTACAATAAAATAAGCAGGATAATAATTTTAAAACTATTAAGATAGTGAGTTATTGTGATTTAAAATATTTTCACATTTTTCCACTCAATTTAACTTGTAGTAAAGGTAAGTAAGAAATAAGAAATTATTGAAGTAAACAACAATTGGTTTCGTTTAGTTTGTTGTAGTATTCTCGTTAAATCATAGTACTGTGAATTTTCTTGAGGTTGAAATAGGGTTACAATAAATTTTACTGTTAGAAAATGTTAAACTATGGTAATTGATAGATTTATAGTATTTAAAGTCTTCTTAAAGCACAATTTTTAATACAACGCATTTTATAGCTGTGCACAAAGGAAAAAAAATTGAGACTTGCAAGAAACGTTGAGAGAGGCGTTTTGTGTCTGAAAATACGCATTAGCATGACACAATGTGCATTTCTAAGTCTGTTTAAAAAAATTTTATTGTTACACGAGAATTGATAAAGTTGATCCTATCTGGGGTCTACTCTATAAATAAAGAATTTAAGGAATTATATGAGAACGAACACAGAACATGTTTATATTTTGGACTCAGACCATAAATTTTCGGTTTCAGCTCTAACAAAATAAATTTATACATGGTACGAATATGAATTTCCCAATACAATTATGCAATATTATTAAATAATCAGAAATATGAATACATAGATTATTTCAAATGATTTTTTTTGTACATACATATTATATAAAATATTATTTTTGTTAATATTAGAGTTTTATTTCTTTATCGTTTTTAGTAGATTTCTAAAATAAATTTTGAAAATTTCAAGAAACAAAATCCTATTGCTAAAATAAAAATAATTTTTTATAGTGAATTTATTTTTTTTATTGATAATTTTAAAGTGAAAATTTAAAAAAAATTATTGTTTTATTTTAAAAAAAAATTTATTAAAAATTTATTGAAAGTAATTTTCAGTTGTTTTAAATAAAATTTAATTTTTATAGCTGAAAATTTGTAGAATAGATTATATTGGCATCATGTAGGTAATGAACACTGAAATTGAATTGAATCTTAAATTAATAAGTAATGAAAAATCAAGTTGAATTACACAGTATGGAACAATAAATATAAATCATATTTCTTTTTTTTTTTAAAAACATTTATAAAATAACATACATTTATTGTTAATAATTATAATATTAAATGGAAGTATCAATAAGGAAAAGGAATCTCTATTATTTGTTATTGTTTTTGCGCTTTTAGAACGAAGACAAATTTTAACTCGAATAACGGGAATTAAACGAAACATATTTTACGAATAAGGCGAATTAAACCAAATAAATTTGAATTGAACCAATGGCTTTTAAGTAGTTCAAGTGAAAACAGTGATAGTATTCGTTAAATTATAATATTAAAATGTCAAGTAATATAGGCTCCTAATGCGAATAAGTAATGATAGGCTTCTCCTAAACGTATGCTAAAATTTTTTCTTATCACTTACTCAATATCATTGCGGTTATTTATCATTGGAATTAATTCTCAGTATTTAATCAATTAGGAAGGGATATTGATATTTATCGTAAAAGTTTCAAGAAATTTATTTGTTATATATACGAAACATTTAGGCGAATGAGTTTCTGTTACCATTAATAATATCAAACTTTTTACGATAACTATCACTTAGTGATTAGATACTCAATATAAACTACTTTATTTATTTGCTTTTAGACAAACATGAATTATGTAATACATTAATTGAAACTAATTCATAAGAAAAATTTATTAATTAATTAGAATTTAAATACAAATACATAGTTTAAATCAAAATTAATTGTACATTAATTTGCAAAATTAAACAATTTTTTTTTCAATTAGAGTTAATATAAATAAAGGAAGAATTAACAATGTTGAGTAAATCCTTTTCCTGTTCATATTGAAAAGAGCAAATTTCTCATGTTTTGTACGTGCGTCATTATTATTGATACATTTTTAATATTATAATTATTAAGAATTCCAATTAAATATTAAGTAAATATTAGAAAAATAAAATTATTCCCTTATATATATTGCAAAATTACATATATAAATATAATTTATTTATTAATATTATTTTTCTCATTATCTTTTTCCCGTTCTTTTCTTTTCTTTGTTTTTTTTTTTCTTTTGTTATATATTTACGTATACTTATATAAAAAATTTTTGATTTTGTTTTCTAAACCAAAAAAAAAAAACAAAAACAAAAATCGAATATAATATAATTTCGATGAAATCCACTTGACAACGAACACAATAAAACAATTGTATAATTTCATCTTGTATAAAAAACAAAAAAATACAATAAAAATTCTTCTATGTCTAATAAATTCATAATACAAACACATGTACATGTAATATATTTGTATAATAACATGCGTCAATAACAATAATATTATGTAATCTATATTACATTACCATTCAACAACAACTTCAAAACTCATTAACAATGAAAATAATCACAAATGACAATCAACATGACAATAAATTTTCTGTTCCTATACTATTTGTGCTATGTTTTCTTTTATATGTTTTACTATTTTACAATGACGAAAAATATTCATGCAAACATTCACATTCATATATGTATTCATTTTTGTTTCCTTATTTTCGTTGTAATTTTTTGTTTTTTTTTTGCTTTTGATGCAATTCCTTTAACTTCGGTATATAATTACGAAACTTGAAAAAATTTTCAACAATCAACATCTTCAAAAAAAAAAAATGCTAAATGTATGATCTTTTTTAATATTTCCTTTTTTATTTAACAAAAAAACATTCGTTATTTCGCTGAATATGCAATTGCAATTCATACAAAACAAAAAATGGCGAAAATAAAAACACAATAAAATTTTTGCAATAACAACACATTGCAATTTCAAAAATACAAAAAAAAAACAAACATCAACACGGCAATTTAATATTTTACTGTTTTACTGTTATGATACTATTACTTTATATACTATTGTCGCATCGGTAATGACAATCTCACACTCTCCTTATATATGTACAAAATACTCAATTTCTCAATGTCTTCATTTCATTGAAATTTGTTTCGAATCTCTCTCTCGCCCTATCTCTCTGTCTTATTCTATGATTGAACACCATAACCGTATTCTGTCAACACAAATAATAATTACTAATTTGAATAACAAAAAAATAATAAACAAAAACAAAATAATCAATTTTATTTTGTAAAATTACGGTTTCTGCAAATTGCATACGTCGTACAATCAAATATAATATTTTGTACATGTGTACGTACATATCTATTACATTTTATATTTCTTTATCATTAAAAATTTTCTTGTTGCCACTGTCGCATGATGATAATGACTTTTGGTAAATAATGATAACGATAACGGTAAAACAAACATGATAAATGACGGCAACTGCAATTTTCTTTTATCCTTGTTATATACGGTGTTTTCTTCATATCGTACGTTATATAACTTGTAAATTGCATCTTTCTTTCCTTGCGTATATCGATTTGAATTAAAAATGGCAAATTCATCAAAATCTTATGCTTTTTCACCACAAAAATGCAATAAACTTAATAATTGCATTAACAAAAACATAAAATAAAAAATTTCTCATTTATTTTACTTATTGTACTCTTTACCTTCAACATTTTCATTATATGCAAATAAATTATATAAAATCTAATCCTTTGTATATTTTCATAAACAAACATAATGAAAATAAAATCATAAAAAATATACACACAAACAAATATTAATCATTGATCCTTTTCTATTTTTCTGTTATTACTGTGCTCTTATTTTGCTTATATAATCCTTTCATAATATATATATATATATATATATATATATATATTATATCCTTTTTCGATGCATTCATTTTAATATATCTATACCTCATTTAATTCCTTGTAATATATAAATACCTACACATAAATATGTACATATTTTTCCTTATATATATATATATATATATATATATATATATATATATATATAAAACAATATCTTGCATCTGATTTGAAAACATCATATTACTTTTATCAAATCTTATATAATAAAATACACATCATATTATAAATGTGTATGTGTATGTATATATATATAAAATAAAAAGGAGATTTTCGGAGAGTGATGATGATATGGTATCATCAATATATACAACACCGCGTGGTTCATTAGGTGGTACATCACTTGGTACAATATCATCGCGTGCTTCAATGCAACATGATCCTGTCACCCATTGCCCTAGCAAAGTTGGAGTTGTAATCACTTCATATAGACAATCACATCGCAGGTAAGCAGATAATAATAATAATAATAAAAAAAAAAATATTTTTCTTGTTATTTTAATTTTTTTTTTTTTTCAATTTAAAATAGAAATTTTGTGTTAAAAGAGAAACAAAAATTATTTCATATACAGGATGTTTTTGTTTTTTTTTATTAGTAATTTTTTCATTAAATTATATAAGCTATAAAAGATTAGATTAAGAGAATACGAAATAAAGCTTGCGACAAATTTTTAAGTTTAGCATCTCGTCATTATTTTTCTGTATTATTCAAAAGTCGCCATTTAATTTATTATTATCATACTAGATTCCATAAAAACCATTTGACAATTCGATTGGCTGGAAAACTCATTTTAATATTAGCAGAAAGCACATTATTGCGGCACTAAAAAAATAACTAAAAATTTTTTGTACGAAATTGACATAATTTTTGCGAGGAAAATTTATTAAACCATTATGGCCGAAATTTTACTAAGGAATTTTTAGATATTTTTCTCTTAAATAAGTTCGAAAAAATTATAAAAAATTATTAAAAAATTGTTGATGCCTTTCAAATTTTTATTTAAGGTACTTTTTACCGACACGGGTTCATTTAATCGTACTTCCTAACGATGGGTGTTCAATTAGACTGAACGTTTAATTAGCATGCGTAACTTCATTTTATAATCAGATAAAGAGGAATCGGGTTAATGAATTTTTATTTTATTTAAATTTTTCATTCAGAAGAGTTTTTTACATTCAAAATGTAAAAAATATTAAACTTTTTTTTTGTAATTTTTAAAAATTTCCCCCAGTTTTTTTTTTTCGAACAACATTTTCAAACATCCTGTATATATGACTATAATTTATATTTATAGTTTTATATGCATATAACACAAAAATAGAGTAAAATTAATTACCTTTATGTTAGATTTAGACAAAAAAAAAAATTAAAAACGAAAATTTCCCTATATTCGTTTTATTCCTTGTTTAGAAAATAATTATGATTTCCACACCTTTGCTCCTTTCACCTGTTTTTAATTTTTTTCGTTTTTGATTTGCTTATTATTTTTTTTTTATTGCAAAAGTTTAAAACTAAATTTAATTTTGTTTCTTGCTTTTATTTTGCTATTTAGTGTACATATAGGAAAAATTTTTGTTGAAAGGATTCAGAATTTTTTTTTACTTTTCTATTTTGGAATTTAGTAAAGAGGTTGTTAAAAAATGATTTGAAAGAACAACATTTTTTAATTTTATCTTTAGTGTTTTCGTTACGTTACGATTATGATGTGAGCAAAAATTAGGTGACAAAAAAAAAATGGTTTTAATTTTTGCTTTTTTCTTTTGTTATTTATTAGTGTACATAGAGAAATGTATTTGAACAAAATTAATCCTTGAAATTTAATTTTAGCGTTAATTTTTGTTTTCTCTATTATTTTCGTCGCTACTTTACATACATACAAAATATGTAGGTATACAATGAAATTCAAAATAAGATGTACTAATTTTAGTGATTATTAACACTGGTTTTAACAATATGAGGTAAAAATGATGTTTATTTAGGACAACATTAAATTAAAATAAAAAAAAAAATTGGAACGAAATTCATTTAGGTGAAAAATTTTTATGGTAATGTTGTTAGTTAGTAAAATTAATAACTCTGATTTTCACCTACAAAATATTATTCTATATTATAAGGATCAAAAAGGATATCATTCAGTTTTCTAAAAATAGGTTTTTAAATATGAATATTGTAAAATTACAATAATTTTTGTACATAAGGATGGGAGGAAATTTAGTTTTATTTTATAATAAAAATAATTTTTTTATAATGTTTGTTTCTCGTTTTAAAAAAGTTTGGCAAAATGGTTTCTGTCGCGACATACTTGAAATTTTATTTTAAGAATATTCGCTTTAAATTAATTTTTAATATTATCAGGATATTTTTTCAAAAGAAAAAAAGTAATGTATATAAATAGAAAAAAAAAGAATGCCCAAAATTTAGTTTATTTTTAATGATGTTAAAAGAAGGAACTGCTCTCCTTCTTCGTTTTTAAATTATATTTTGAGGGTGAAGAAGAAAAATTTAAACAAGTAAAAATATGTGGAAATAAGGAAAATATGAAATGAAAACAGAAGAACAAAAAACAAAAAGAGATAAAAATAAAAATTAATTTCGTTTTATTTATAAAATTTTTCAATGGAAGGAAGAATTTATTTGTTTGTTGTTTTTATTCATTTGATTAAATTTGTGTTTAGGATTCCTTTATAATATTGCAAGAATTTAAAGAATCACGGAATTTTAAATAATTTAAGTATATAAAATAAGTAAACTTTTAAAGCCAAAAAATATGTGGGGGGATGCAAGAAAAATAGAATAAAATAAGAAAGAGACTTAATAATTACAAAATGTGTCGTTGCTGCAGACAAAAAGATATAAAAAAAATTAAAATGGAAAGATAAGTAACTAAAAGAATTTCCCAGATTTTTTTTTTGAAATCAAATTAAATATTTTAAGTAAACACATAGCTACTTAAAAGCCCTCTTTAAATTATATAAAAAATTAAATTATTTTGTCATTTAGAAATAAAATAGCTTTAAAAATCACTTTGTATAGAATTAGGAAAAATGACTAAACGCTCCTAGAAATATGCAATTTTTTAAACTTTTATAATGGTATATTTTATAATAATGTTGTAAAAATAGTTTTGTTTTAATTTACAATTCTAATTTTTTTAATTTTACTTTTTTTAAGCATTATGATCTTTGCAAATTATTTTAAGTATTACTTCGAAACAGAATTAATTAAATCAAATTCCATATATTAAATAGATCACAAATACTCTTAATAAAATTAATATTCTAAGTTATTCGAAGCAAAATTTCATCCCTAGTAACAGAGTTTTCCATAAAAATATGTTTAACATTCAAAATATTGCCACAAACGGAATAAGTCGGCACACTAGTATTATTAAATAGATACTTCTTCGTGAACAGCATATGACTTAGACGCAATCTGCAAATTTTTGTTTCTACAAATCTGTTACTTATTTTGTACACCGGAGCAGCCGTGCGAATTAAAATTATAAATATTAAGATAAATTAAATTTGTAAACCCATAATGGACGTGGCAGCCCAGTGTATTGATAATGTTATTATAATTTATTATATTATATTATATAAATAAATAATTATATATATAAATTATATTATATAAATATTATATAAATAAATAGGTATATGGTATATGGTATAAAGTACTTTGTTCAGATAATCTTTTTGTAAGAAGATTACATCTTCTAAATATTTAGATCATTTATATTTTTCTTTTAATTAACATATTAGTGAGCTGTAAAGATATACTAGCCACTGCAGGATATTACATCATTTACAAAACTAAAAATACGAGAATCACACCACAATCAAATAATTGCGTTGACTCTAATTTATAAACCTATAGTTTTTATTCTCATTCACGTAATATTACAGTAATAATAGGTGAGTTCTTTGATTCCATAAATGACATGTTAATTATAAAGGTGTGAAAATTTCAATAATTTCATATTTAAAATGAAATTTTACATCATGAATATTGTCGCTTGTCATACAGTCACTAATTTCATAATTGCATTGCATTGCATTAAATGAAAAAATTTTTTATTTCAATATGCAATTATTATAATAAATTAATATTTTAAATATTTATATAAGATTTACATAATATTATTATAGAAAGGACAATATAACCATTTTAATTAATTATTATAATTAAATTAAATCAATAAAGTTATTAAAAAGATTGCTATAGAATTTTTATTTTTTTTTTTTATTAATAAAATTGAAACATTTAAATGCATATTTTTTTTTTATTTTATACCGGTTATTGAATAAATAGATTAATTAAGAATATAATTTTCAATTATATACTAATTATATATAATTTTCATGAGTATTTAAACAAAAAAAAAAAATCTTATTGAAGTGACAATTAATTGTAAAAATATAAATAAAAATTTATTTTCGTTTAAAATTCGCATATCACAGTGATAATACAGAATTTCTGTTTTTCTTTTTGTCCCTTTATTAAATTTAAAAATCAAATAATTATCAACTTTTGATATATTAACCTTTTTGGTTTAATTTATTTATTTTGAAAATAAAAATTTGAAAATTTAATAGTGTAAGAAATCAAGTGGAAATTTATGGAAAATATATTTAAATTGAATTGAATTTCATAAATCTATAATCCTTTCATCAAATATTTGAAGTTTAAATATGATATGCAGATTAAAGTAATACGATATGAGTTTAATAATAGAAGGAAAATATTGTAAATTATATTTCAAAATTTATTTTTTTGTCATTTAGTAAAGATTATGAAAGTTCACTTTAAGTAATCAATTATAAAATTTTTTTGGAGAATTGTAATATTTTTGGAGAGTTTATTTGGAGAAATTTAAAAATTTTGCTTGTATAAATTATTTCATTAATATAACTTCTTGTATAACAAAAAATTAAGGTAAAAATTAAAAATATTCTAATATCTAACCTGAATTATGCATCTAATTATTTTATTACCTATTTGTATAATTAGAAAATGTTGCATATTTCTGGGGGTATCATAAAATAATCCAACTAATAAACTGTTTCTCTAATCCTGCTATCCCTTAATTTGGTTTAACATTTTTATTAGTTTTCGTGACAAATTTAAAAAAAAAATAAAAATAGATTTTTTTGATCAGTGTAATGGAGATTACTTCATTTAACCTTTAACCTATACGAGGTGAATTTTTTTACATATTCGACAAGGGGGTAGTATTTGATTATGTACTCTTTTAGTCAATGATAAGGTATGATTCATTGACTAAAAGAGTACATAAAGCTACAGAGAATAGGAAGGTGTTAGGGAAGGAGCAATTACAAAAGAACAAGTGGTAGATGTAAAATTTAGTAACACCTTGCCGGATAAAGGTTAATATAATAGGAATTTTTACAATCATATATGAAAAATTGTGCTATGCTCTTATCGTTTAAGAATAATATTCTCTAGTTTAAATATTATTAGTTTAAGTATTAATAGTTTCTCTATTTTAAGAATAAATATCAATTTGATTATATGGGAATAAGTTCTGTTTCATTTAGAATAAGAATCTAAGCGCTTTGTTCTGTTTTCAAATTAGGTAATTTTTAATTTTATAGTTTTCAAGGTTTTAATTTCGCGTACGTATTTACGATATTCAAGATGAAAAATTTTTAAAAATACTTGTTTTCTTTCAATGTTTAGGTAAAATGTAAGAGCTTGTTTTATTTTTTATTACGAGTACTAACAAAATTATTTTTCAATATTTTTTTTTGTCTCCTTTAATTTTTCCTATTTATTTATTAAATGAAACTTTGTGCTCCTATGTGTAATGATGACTTCATGTTTTTGTTTATTTATTTTCATTTAATTAAAATGTATTTCTTAAAATCTTTCCATTTTCTCGAATAATTTTTTTATTTAGTGAACTAACGAAAATATTTTTATATTAATTGTTAAAATTTATTGTTTCTTATTGTTATATTTATATGTGTGTGTATATTGATTGCAAAATGACAATTAAAAATTATTAAATTAACGTTACTTTGTCAATCATTTTACTTTAAAAAAAAACCAAATTCGAAATCATTAAAAAAACAAATTTTTATGAAAACTAAAAAAAAAAAATAGTATGGGACCAGATCCACTCTGGTAAGTTTTCAGAATTTTCTCCATCATTATTTTCTTTTTCCCACTTTTCTTACATTCTTATTGTTGTTGTAGATTTTTAGAGTCACTTTTTATTTTAATTTTTGTTTGGACTAAAATTAACACTACATTCATTTATTTATTATAAAACAATTAATTGGTTAGATAAAAGTAAATTATAAACAAAAATTGTAGTTCTTCACATTTTATTAAATTATTCTTTTCTATATATCCACAAATTTGAATGCCTCAAATATTTTTTAAAATTTATAAATTACTATAATATTTGTGTTTAATTAAATTAAAATTTTATCAATAAATTTTCACAAATTCTCCCCGTAATTTATTTGAATAAATTGAAATATAACATTTATTATAATATTTTTTCAATTTTTCTTGTTGTTTAATTTTATTAATTAAAATATTCAATTTAAAGAAAATTGTATTAATGAGATTGTAATAATTTTTATTATTATCTCAATTAAATGTCGCATTTTATTAGCATGTTGAAATTATAAAATATTAAAAATAGATTTTTTATGCAGAATATTCCAAAATTTAATGTTTAATAAATTACTTTATTAAATTATTTTAATTATTTTACAATAAATACATCAAATGCTAATTTAAAATTATTATTGATTGTCAATTGAATAAAATTTAATTTACCGAAAATTTAATATTAATGTTGTGTTATTTTTTGAAATTAATCTGGAATTAAAAAAAAAATGTGAATATTTTTTAATTTATAAATGAATTTAGTTTAAGAAAAAAATTGTATGTATAAATTTTTGCTTATTAAGTTTTAAATACCTTATTTTGTCCAAAGAGTACATATGAAAATTTGCATGTTTATTAAAATTATTTTTGGCCGCATTATGATTTTCTATTTATTGTGTAAATTAGTAACTATCGAATAGTAATGATCGAATAGAATTCTTAATACACGTAATTCATAATTAATATGCAAAACAATGTAAAAAATAAATCATCAATAACTTTTTCATACTTCAAGAAAAAGTTAGCCTTTTAATTTTTGTGCCTTAAAATATCACGAAATTCATATGTGCCGCTATTTATCTGTAATATTTAATATAAGATATGTAATTCTAGTTAGTTCAAAAACGTCTTCTCCTCCGCATTTCGATGCCACAGCTTCGCTGGCCAATATTCGATTAGGAAATACACACCGTTTTTGCTATATGTCCTAATAAACCGTGTCGCGTCAAAATTCAAACCGCAGTACTGAACGCCTCCCGTTCTTGTTCCGTTCCTTTTTGGTAACAACACCTTTGTTGTTTCACAACTTCGCACGCCATCCCGAAGCAAGTTCCCATTCCTTTTAGTTTCCCCATCTACAATATTTTTCAACATACCCAATAGTGGAAGCACCAAACAGTCCATTTTCGTAGGCCCTTTTTTTTCCTCTGACGTTAATGTGGCCAGAAACTCAGAGCAAGGTTACCCAACCGCAGAACCGCTCTGGAGCGCCCCACTATTAAGATATGTACTATTATGTCAGTACAGGAGTTCAGTAGCCCAAGAGTCGCTTTGCTGTTCACATAAATAGTAACGCCCCTAAGCCGACACACAGTCAACTATCGCCAACTCGGCAGTCCAGTGACTAGGAAGCACCTCAGCCTGAAATACACTATTATAATCCGCCAGGCTAGTAGAATCTCCAGTCCTATTTTCTCGCAGAATACTCCTGCTCTAAACCTAAGGTTTGCTATTCCACTTACATAGATACACAATATCGATTAGTTGATAGCGAGAAATTTTAACTTTAATGAAAAATCCTTACAGAAAAGGAAAATTGTTGTGCTGCTTTCCGATTTGTGACCCCAAATCATATTTAATTATTGTATTTGAAATAAGCATGTACCTTACCTTTAAGAATAAATTTATAATTATTTTCATGTTGCTTCCAAAACTATAATTTTCGACGAATTTTTAAAAAACATTTAATTTTGATTATGTAGTACTAGAATTTTTATAATTTTTTTTTTTTGGTAGCTCATATTAATTTTGAGTAAAATGTTTTTTATGTAGAAATTATTTTAAGTTGTTTTTAAAACTATATTATTATTTGTTTTTTTATTTTACAAAAATGATTTTCTTAAATTACATATATTTACTATTTAACCCTTTTATTTTTCTAATTTCCCCATTCACTCACTTTATTTTTAGTAATTTTTTTTATATTTTTTAATTGCTACAAATTCCCAATCCCTTTTAGAGAAAAAGTAGTTTAAATTCTAGGAAAAATTCACTTATATTTTAATTTTGAATTATTTTTTTATTCGTAGTAATGTCAAGAGATTTAAAAGTAGATAAAAAAAAAAAAAACAAATATTTTTTTATTTTTTAACAATTTCAAAATCACCATATTAGTTTTTATCAAAAAGCGTTGTGTATTTAGGCAAAATATTTACCAAATTTTATAATATTTTATCCCTTTATTTTATTTAAATAGTATAAACAAAAACAAAAAATAGTAAAACCAATCCAAAGTCAAAAAATCACAATTAAAAAATGAATTTTTAAAGCAAATTAAAATGCAATTTGTTTTTGTAATTTTTTTAATTTTATTTTTCTATTTTTACTATTTTTGTTTTATTATTAAAAATTTATATAATATTTATGAAAAATAGTGTAGAAAAACACAAACATGTACATTGATATTTTATTATTAATATTATATAAAATAAAATTAACTTTTTAATATTATTATGATAAAAAAACTTGTCTATATATATGGTAGATAAAATATATAATATTGTATATAATATGCACATAATACGTATCTATAAAGGATATCCTAAATTTGATGGTATAAGCGTCCTATGTAGAGAATCAGTTGTTCAGTAGGATTTCTTTTTAAATTTCAATGAAATTCTGAAAAACTTCACAGCATTGTTAACCAACAAAATCATTGAATTTCAAAATGAATTTGAAATCAGCAAAAATTTGAACAATTTGTATAAAAATATTTAATTTTTAATTTGTCATTTTATTATTCCACAAAAGTAAATTTAAAAATTTTAAAAATAAATTAAAAAACAAAATCATTACAGTTGATTAGATTTTTAGTTTGGATAAGTAACTTGCTTCAATCAACCGAGTTTAATAGCACTGTTCTTATACAAGTTTTACAAGCTTATGATTTTTAATGTAATAGTTGTCAAAAAATGCTACGATATTTTTATCAAATGCCTTTTACAATCCGATTTCGAAAAGTCTTGTAATTTTATAAATTTTTGAAAAAATTCAATTTAATTATGAAAAAATATTTGAAAAAATCTTGGCGATAGCTTTAATCTACGTTTACGATTACTTAACAATTCAGGTCTTGAAAGAAGCAATACTTGCTGCAAATATCAAAACTAAAGCAAATTTGGAGCAAAAATGTCAAAACTAAAAAACTGACAAAACAACAAGGCAAATATTGTCAAAATTATTAATTTTGACAATATTGTTATTAATTTTTTTTAAATAATTTTATTAATTTTTTGCCGCAAATTGTGGCAGAACTTTTGCAGCGTAAACCAAACCATTTATGTACATACATTTGTGTTCATTTTAATGTGAGTAAATTTTAAACTGTTACGTCATTTTTCATTTCAGTAAAGGGAATACATCCGCAATATATTAAACTTTAATTGTACTTTCAAAATCGCAGCACTATTTGAATATTGATCAAAATTAGACTATTGATACGAGTATATTTTTACAATAGAATTCGAATTTTTAATTTTAATTATTTAGACACATCGGCAAATTTATAATTTTTTAGAATTTTAATAATACTATGTATTTGCAATTATTCGAACCTGACGATTTTTGGATAACCTTTTTATTATAATTTTATATATACATATAATAGATAAACTAAATTAAATATTGTTCATAAAAATTTCCATTTAAATTTTATATTTAATGCAAAAGTATTTAATTATTTATAACTATATATATATATATATACAAACATAAATATTTGTATTTGTATTATTGTCAATATGTTTATTACGTAAATTAGAAATTAATATATACATACATACATGTATTATTATAATTATATTGCATAACATATACATGTACGTACATTTGTATATTAATATAAATTTATTATTATTTTTTTTTCAAATATTTTATAAATATTTAATAAAAGTAGTTAGAGAAATTAAAATTTATCACATATAATAATAGTTAGAAAAAAAAACAAAAATATTAAATTAAAAAAATTAGAAAATAAAATTTTTTTTTTGCCCTATAATGTTGTAGTATTAAAAATGTCCTTGTATATCCTATTTAAATTATCATATTTTGTTTTAAATATGAATATTAGTATATACAGTGGAACCCGTGTAATTGCAATCCGTATAAATGCAAAACCCCGTTAAAAGTGTAAGAAATTTTTATGTTTTCTCATTTTTGAAATATTTTAAAGGAATTTCCAGCTGATAATTCCAACCCGCATAAACGCAAATAATATTCTAATTGCAAAGTATTCTTTAAAATTTTTAAGACATCACAGAGATGAGAATTTTTTTTTTACAATCTGTCAATATAATTCTATTGTCAATTTGAGCCTTGATGAGCTTTGATGAGCCAAAAACATAAATTTTCAAAAAAAACATTAGCTCCTGCTAAATGTAATTGTATTGCAAGTATGAGGCGAAAATAATTATATTGCAATTGTTTTTCAGTTTTGCAATTATCCGGGTTCCTCTGTACTCACAATTATACATATATATATAAATATAAATATTAGAAAAGTACAATGTTTACGTAATACTTTTTTTTTGTAATACGATTTAATTGTGTTATAGATTTTTTTTTTTATAAAATAATAATAATATTGGCCTAATATACTTTGTATATAAAATATTTAATATTTTAATGACTTAAAATATTTGCTCGTTTAATGAATAAAGTACATATAAGTATTTAATAATGACATTGACATAAATATTTTTTTTTTATTTAAATTTGTGTAAAAA